CTAGCAACCGCTGCCGGGAATCAGGGGGGCTCCCAAAAGTCTTTTAAGCCCAGAATGTTGATCGAATTTTGCTGCTCTGACGATTCGAAGCTTAGTACCCCAAGAAAGTCCAATGAAGATTGCCACTGCATTAGGGTTACCGAAAAAGAAGATGGTACCACTAACAGCTGTCGGCAACGGCTAGCCTCTCAAGTCCAAGATTTCAGAAATGATTTCAATGACGGCACTTTGATACTTTATGCATCGTTGCCCTGCGTTGGAGGTAGCCCATGGGGGAATGTGAATGGCCTTACTGTTGAGGGTCAAGAAAGAATCAAAGAGCAACAAAAACAGTTTACCAAGTTGTTCAAATCTTTTGTCAAACTTGTGGATGAAGTTCATGATGAACGAACCTTGATAGCATTTGAACTGTCCAAGAATTGCAAGTATTGGAGATGGCCGATGGTTAGAAAATTCCTTATAGAACGTTCCATGACTACTCATCATTTTGATGGTTGTATGTTGGGGGTTCTTGGAAACAACGGTCAACCAATGAAGAAAAGTTGGACTATTGCAGGAAACTTTAAAGAACTCGCAGTGTTAGACTCATTTAAATGTGATGGCAAACATGAGCATGATCAAAGTAGGGGCAAAGCTCTTAAACTTGCTGAGAACTATACTTTCAAGTTGACCGACATGCTCCATGAGTGTTTCCGGGTAGCTGTGGTGGGCCAAACATCCAAAAGGATTTCACCCGCTGTCATTCGTGCCTGTCCTGCTAAAATGGCTGACTCGCGATATGCCACAGCACACCCGGCCAGCCGCGAGGCTGCGCTCGAAGCCACACGTGAGGCTAACAAAGAAGCATGGTTGCTCCTTCACAATCGCATTTTGTTTGCATTGGCCATGCGCAATGAAGGTGAGAATCAGGCTGCTCAGGACCTTGTGGATGGACTGATGACCGAATGGACGCCGGCTTCGGCCCTGAGGTTCTATGGTCGAGAGGATCCGCTTGCAGAATACCTTAGCTTCTGCTTTTTGCCAAAGGAGTCCCACATCGAAAAGATCATGCTGCCAGAGATGCCTGTCAATGAAGTAATCTGGATCTTAGTCTCTGACTCGTCATGTGCATTGATCACAGGGCGTAGGAAAACACTTAAGAAGTTTGACCTGTCCGAGCATTTCCGGCAGCGCAAACCTAAGTATGTGACTGAGTTCATCCATGAGATGCTTTGGGGCAAAACTTTGCAGAAGCTGGTCAAGCGTGGGATTGAATTGGCCGCGGACGCCCGCGAGCGCTACCCTGATGCACGCATCAACCTGCATTTGTCCTGGTTCGGAAATGAATTGGTGGGAGAGGATGGGATTGCCCAAAATCCAAATTGGCCGTACGACGGCCCCAACGGGCACTGGCCCACGATCCTGGATGATTGTGAGCGCCACTTGACTTGGTACATCAACAAGGCCCGGGAGTTGGATTTGCAGTCGGCCGGTCTCACGACCGCGCCTTGGAGCGCTGATTATGGCATCCATCCTATCTTTGACCAGTTCTTTGATGTTTTGGAGCCTCGATTTAAAGCTCTTACCAGCAGCCTGCAAGGGCTAGCCAATCCGAAGTATCCGTGGCTGAAAGCAAAGGGGTACGCCGATGCAATGGAATTCAGAGACCAGTGGCATTTCGCCAACTCTGAAGAAAATCGCACGCGTCTTGCTGCCTATTGGACAGCTACCCTTTTCGCAATTGATTGCGGCTGGCGGGTTGGTCGGATTGGTTTGCAGCTTACTGAGTGTGGCCAGGAAACATGGGATGATTTGCGGAGGAACATGAGCGCCGTCCTGGACGAGCTGCCAAGATCCTATCAGGAGACATGTGCAAACATCACCAAGTTGCTTTTTGGAGAGTCCCGAAGACACATCACGCCGACGGGCAGGTCATTCACCAAGGAGGACGTCGAAGCTCAACAACCAGACACCGAGGACTACATCGACACCAAAACGATGCCTTCTGGCACGTTTGCTGAGCCTCCCAAAGATGACCCTCCAAAGGCCGCCGGCGACGGCGAGCCCGCTGCATCCAGCAGAGCAACAATCCTGGTCCAAACGGCTGAGGTCATGTTGAAGTCGCGACCGAAAGCAGCACCAGCCCCAGTGGATGAGCCCGCAGATGACAAGAGAGCCACATCCAGCCAGTACCAGCCGCGGGCAACCGCGCGCTTAGAGGAACATGCATCCGGCCACGTGAAAGCATATTGGATGGAAGAGCATTTGCCTGAATACCAATATACAATGGTGACCAATGCAGACGGGGATGATGTGCCCGGGATCCTCTTTGAAGGTACGGCTTATGAGCTGGAGCTGATATCGGCATCCGACGTCGAGACCATTGCAGGCCAGACTCGCGTCGACAAGAAGTTCTCCGATTTTGCAACTCGTGTCAACAAAGTTTGCAGGGGGCATGGGTCCTGTTCCAAGGTGCCAATGGACAAAGACCTTTGGATTGACTTGGAGGATTTCGCCAAAGCCTTCCGCAAGGAAGTGCCCCCAGATGTGTTCATCACCATCGCAAACCTGTTTGGCACTGCAATGAAGATCGACAAGCATGGCAAGAGTAGGTTCCAATTCTTGTGTGCAAAGATCTCCCATTTCCTGTCGACAATGGCCTAGGCATGCCGTATTACCCTGTGAAAATCCGTGCAATTCAGGGTCACTCCGAAGCTGCCTTGAAAACCGCCGGGGGCCTTTATGCCAATTCAACCATGGTGTATTGCTCAAACCAAGTATCCCCCGAGCGAAAAGCCGCCTTCACTGGCGTGCCCTTGTGTGCCATGACTGAGGTCCCTGAAATTGTTTTTCATCGCACGATGAGAAGCAGTTGGAAGAGCATCGCACAGAACGGCCTGATCCCAGGCGGCGGTGACACAGTCAACAGTGGCCGTGCTCATATCTACATGGCAGAACACTGTATCGGCACACAGGGATATCGATCTGGATTAAGAGCAAAATGTCCAGTCGAAGTCAAAATCGCAATGCGGCAAGCAGTTGAAGCTGGTGTCATCTTTAGTCGCACAGAAATGGATGGTATTTTGTGTTCAGAACGCATCCCACCGCAGTTTCTGGTCAGCATCTCAGAAGATGGACAGGTGCTTTGGTCCCGCGCCGAGAGCAATCTCGAGCCCAGTACATGGACAGGCGCGGCATCAGCCTCAGCACCAAGATCCACAGCGGTCACCCTGACTGCCCGAGATGATGCAAATGACGACCCAATGGATGACACCAGCACGGGGCGACCCGATGCCACGTCCACTGATGATGCAGCCACTGCCCCAATGCAAGTTGACCAGCCGTCCGCAAGGACGCGCCGTGTTTACATTGCACCAAAGTACTGCGAACCTTTCATGGGCTCCTGCCCCCTCTGTCAGGTTGAGTACGTCAGTGGCCAAGTGACATGCACCACATGTGGATATGAGCCACTCCCAGTGGACGAAAGTGGCGAAACAAAAGAGGCCGACAGATCCAACAGAAGGACCCGCATCCTTGAACGGCGAATGCAGAGTCTCGCCGGGTTCGGAATGTATGGGAAGATGAGCGGCACCTTGTTGACGGCTTTGACAAATGAGCAAGCCGATCTTCTTCGCCGGGAACTGGGCCCCAGGGGAATCACATCCGTGGAATCAGCAGTCCTCAAAGACTGCCGCGATAGGCATCGACGTGCAAAGCGCTGGGATATGAGGATGTGGAAGACAGATTCGCCAGCGATGTCACCTTTTGCGACCGCATCCACGGTGAGGGGAAGGGCCTGCAGGATTGTATCTTTGATGATATGTTTGCATACGGCAACCTCCCCGATCCCCCAAGGACTAGAGCTCAGGTCTCGGCTGGCGTCGCCGCCAATGCCCAAAATGAAAGCTGCTTATCCAAGCTGATTTTCATGTCACAGCCCCGAGGCGTGGATGGGTTCCCAGTTGAGTTCCGCAAAACATGGAAAAAGGTCTGGGGTTTCATGTTCGGCCGCCACGTTTTTACAGAGGATGAATATGTCAGCTACATCGGCCGTCGTGGCGCATACCGTGGCCTGTTGACCTGGAAGGGCACTGTCCAAGTTCCTTTTGATGGCACTCTTGAATTCCTCGAAAAGGTGTATGAGGAAAACCTTCCATTGGTTCGGGGCAACCTTGAACGCAAAGAGAAGCAGAGCGCCGCTGCAAAGGCTGGAGGTCCTGGAGGTCACAAGGCCGACCCCACGGTCGCGCCCACTGCTGAGCGAAAGCGCAAAGCCGAAGCTGATGCATCCGCCACCACACATGCCGACACAGCCGCCTCAAGCTCTGCTCGCGCAGACGCCTCGCACGCTGATGCCCCAGTTGATCCCAACAATGCACCATTTCTTGCACCCGAACCACCAACATCCAAAGCAGGAGCACGACCATTCTTGGAGCCTGAGACACCGCCCACTGCAAAAGCAGCAAGCACAGTCACATCGAAGGCTGCAAGCTCCGGTCGCCCGGATGCCTCTTGGAGTTGGAATCGTGATCACTATGGTGCACGCCGAGAATGGAGTTTCTGGCGTGGGGCTTGGTATTACCGTGACGAGGCCGGCGGCCGGTGGATCTATTGGAACCGCAGGTAGACGATGATTTTCTTTTGTAGCATAGCGCAAGATGCGGCATGGTAATGCGCCTTCCTTGCAAAGCTGCGCTGGGTTTTACGGGCTTGAGCTTTTTATAGGGACCTTTGAAAGACTGCACAAAATGTTCAAAACCAACTAAAGAAATTTGGCTACCCGCGAGGGTATGCTTTTCTGGGTTATTCGTTCTCCGCAGTCGTCCCTGCTCGCCCGAGGGGGGTGTAAAAACTCCTGCAGTAAAACCATGTAGTGCACATATCATCGTACTACTCTGTAGCGTTGGTTCAAAAGGATCAAGTGCTTAGCGGCCCTTTGTGGTTTAGCCCCATTGTTATTGTAACATTGTTGGCTGACCTTGTAAAATACACCTTTTCTTGGAATCTGATGAGGCAGGAGCCGCTTTGCCACCATTCAGTTCTTCCTTCACGTTGAAAAGGAAGCTGTTCTGAAGCCTTCAGAGCTTGCATCCATTTCAAACTGAATGGCAGAAACCATACGTACATTAATCATCATTTATCATGGTTCTCATCTGGTTTCTCTGGATGTCTAGCATGGCTCTGCATTCTTTTGAAATCTTTTGAGCACGTCCGAATCGCACTGCAACGAACCGTCAAATTGTAAATTGTAAGCTATGTCCTGCTTTAATGCAGCAGTCTCAAGGTCAGAAATTGTGGCGAGCCAACCGAAATGAAAATCCGAGCTCGAATGTCCACCAGCTAAGTTTTTGACGGGTGCGTCTCGCTGCCTGCAATCTGCTGAAGCAAGTTTCGACCACCAAGTTGTGTGGGCATTTTGAGTTTGGGGATGGTTTGGATTGGTTTGGGATGTTTTGGGTATGATGACAGTGGGCAAGCTGTCAACATCATTTGCTTTCAAGGTCGACATCAGTGTCACCCGCCTGGAGTCCCACTCCAACCAGGATATGTATTGTTGACAGCCGCCGAGCGTTTGCGCCCTTCCGCATCCAGCAGAGCCAGGTCAACACCTGCAGAGGTGCCGCAATGCCGCACGTGCCAACAAGACAAACAGTGCCAGACAATGCTCATGATATCTCCTGATGGAATTTCAGATCCAATTCAGCACAGAACACATTTTCGATCATGTTAGACTGTTAGATTTAGCAAGTCAACGCTAAGATCTCTCGGAATCGTGCCTGCACGAAAGGCGTCTTGTTTGAGCTCAGCATAATTCGGAATCCCCGTGATGGCCACCGCGCCGTAGGCACGCTCACCTCGCCGAATCGTACCATGCGATATTTCACCGGACCTTCTCAGCACGAGGATTCTGAGGATTCTGAGGCCCAGTCCAACAAAGGCCTTGTGAAGCTTGTCAAGCGCAGCAGGCGTCAGATCGCGCAGCCTCACAATATATATATATATATATATAGTCATAGATTAGTCATAGAATGTCATAGAGTGACTTGGGGCTTCCAAATCCGCTTTCGGCATAGATGATCCATGATTTTGCGTGATTTTGCTCTGTGTAGGGCTAAAAGAAAATCCGTCACTTCGGAATCTTCAAAAAAGGATTAAACTCTGAGGTGAGTAGTTTGTCAGGGCTGTTCTGCTCAGAAGCATCTCCTCTTCAATTCTGCATCTCACAGATCCTGAAAAACAATTCCACCACTTCGGACCAAGGGACTCTTCGTAGGGGATCTGCACGACAGGTTCCAGAGGCGCCACTTGCCCCGATGGGACCAGAGGAGCTTGAGGCATTGGGGGCATGGCTTGGGATTCAGGTTGGACACGCACCGCCAAGGTCGAGGCCGCCTCGTTGCCATCGGGGCATCGGGGGCCGCACTTTTGAGTGGAGAACCAGACTCGACTCAACTCCACCCACCTTGAAGGAGACCGAACTCAGCATCCTGTCACCCATAAAACTTCACAAACATGGCTAACCGGCTAACCACATCCAGAGAGAATACAACATCATGTAATATGCAACTAGAATACATTCATGAAATTACATTGAAATTACATTGAATATATATTTATATATTTGAATATCAAATTACAGAGCTCCTCAGCTCCTCGTTCTGTCTCAATCTGGACATCTGTCACAACTTCTGTCACCATCCCTCCAAACCGTGCATTTCAACTCTGGCCAGTGCGACGGATCCGTGATCTTCCACGCCAACAGAGGCCGAACTGAGCATGGCAGCGGAAAGCGCCGTTTACGGTCGCCCAAAATGCCCAATCATCCTGGTTTTCCAATGTTTTCCATATCCATCGCCATTTTTCGAACGATTCCAATGTGCGCAGTCACTTTCAGATATGTTCCATGTTTTTTTCAATGTTTTTTCGATGTTGTTTTCAATGTTTTCAGATATGTTCATCCCGGTTTTCTTCATAGTGTGCTGAGCTGGGCCGCCGAACAAAGCCTCCAACGCGACTTCGTGATGTACTGCACCGAAGACCTCAGACAAGGCTTCTTGGTCCAAGGATCTACATGTAGGATGACATGGATTCAATTCAGAAGATTCAAGATGTGAGAACTGAGATCCTGAGATTCTGAGATCTTCACTTCATCATGTGAGTGTGACAAAACCTGTGCAGGCAAAGGATGTGCAAGAGTGCACCCGAAAAAATTGAGTCATCCTGACTTCCTTCCATGCGAAAAACATCGAAAAACAGACTGCTTGCCACTGCTTGCCACTGCTTGCCACTGCTTGCCACTGCTTGCCACTGCTTGCCACTGCTTGCCACTGCTTGCCACTGCTTGCCACTGCTTGCCACTGCTTGCCACTGCTTGCTGCCAAGGCGCATGACTATCCAGGGCACCAAACATTCACAGCTTTAGCGAGGGATGGAAACTTTGAAGCCAAGAATGTCCAGCAGGTCTCGCTTGCTCTCAGAGTCAGGTCTCCATTGTCTCCATGTCTCCAATTGACTACAGTAGTTGCAACCGATGATCACCAGCTCACTGATGAAGAAACACAAAGTCACCAAATGTCCCGAAGCAGTTTGCAAAGCAAAACGCTTTGTGTTGATCGGTTCAACTCACACCAATCACTACCAATCACTACCAATCACTCTGGCACGCACTGCGCACCTTTTGACACAACTGGTTATGATGCTTCAGCAAAGCCTCCAGCTGCCCTACAATTCGGGACAACTGGTCGCGGACCCGCAGGCCTTATTTCGTAAGTTAATAACATAGGACACACTGAAGAGTGTAGCCCTCTGAACAATAGGCCACCAGAAGCAGGCATTGGATCCACACAGGACTTGTTTTTACAGTGACAGCCTGATTACAACAGTTTCCTTTGAGGCTTCTGTGACTTTTTTGGCTTCTTGGTGACAAGACCTAGAGCTGTGCAGACACGAACTCTTGGAAGGTCTTTGCGAAAGATGCATCTCGGGGCACATCATGGCCTACAAGCTTTGCCAAGAAATCCGACAATGTGCTGCTAAAATTGCAGTGCGCTCGATCCAAACAAATATATTATTATAATATAATATGTTATATATAATTATATAAATATAATTTGCTTTGCTGCTGCTTTCGTTGTCCTGTTTGCAACAAAGGGACCCTTGTCATGGGTGTAGACCTGCTTCGCTTTGAAAAAGTCTCCAACTTGTTTGCCTCGGACATGGAAATTCCGAGGTTGTAGTGATTCAGCTGAAATTGCTGTGACACAGGACACTAAATATTACAGGAGTGAACTCGGAGCGAACAAGTCCAGCCAAGTCACATTCCTCCACGTATTCCTCGCTGTTGTCGTAGGTCAAAAGGCAAGGAGAAGACTGCGGTCTTAAGCCAGGTACTTTCACGGGCGAGAAGAGAACTCTCCATGAACAGTCCTCCAAAGCTCAGTGCGACCAAGTCCCAAATTCAGATGGTCCAATGGCTACCAGATGGTTTAGGTCGTTTAGGTCGTTTACGTGGTTCATGTCTGGATGAAACCAGATGCACAAATACCCATAAAACACCTGCGCCATCTCAAGCCAACGGAGTCACTCATCTTTCTCAAAACGAAGTGACTAAGCCAACAGCAAAAATGAAAAGCTGTCCAGCAAAGCTGCCACAGCGCCACCCTGCGAAAAGCCAACAGCGCCCACGGCATTCACCGCGCGAACACTTGGAAGTGTTGCACTGATGGCGTCATAATTCCTCTGCCACCCTGGCGATAGCGTTGAATTTTTCAAAGGACCACCAAACTTCTGGATATGGACCATGTGACCATGGATCGAATTGATACTTTTCTATAATTTTCTATATACTAAATTGGTATAAATTGGTCCTTTTCTATATACTAAACATTACTAAACATTACTAAACCATCCATTGAGGGCTACCACATCAGCATCCTGTTGACATCCTGCTTCGTCGATGGAGTCCATGCTTGACCAAGCCATGCCTGTTTCGAAGTCGCCTGCACCCCACCACCTTTGGCGGAAGCATCATGATGAATATGGCACAATTCAGAAATTCTGCATATCCATGTTCCAAAGATTTGGACTCACACATGTCAATGCATGTCAATGCAATTCAATACCTTGCACCATTGCAAAACAGATTTATAGAAGTTTAGACATGTATATACATGTCATGTTTGAATTTCATCAGCTCGTTTCATCAGTTCATTCAGCCTTTCATGTCTTGGAAGCCCCGAGTGTCCAGCTCGCGGCCATCCGAGATATTTGGTGCTGCTGGACCCGTGCCAACTCGTAGTGAAGTCAGTGAAGTCAGAAAGATCCATTCCACTACGCCCAAACTGCCTGCCATGCCACCCATGCCACGGCCATGGCCACGCCACGTTTGAAGGGCGATGATTCAGAGTCAGAAGTTGTAACAAAACTGGATCTCACAGATCATCTCACTAAAGGCTCCTTGCTGTTTTAAATCCAGTCCCAAAAGCGGTGTTCTCTGCACAACCTTAGCAGCTTTTAGTGACGCACGCTGCGCACCATCAAAACATCTCAAAACAGGCGCAGAGAGACTGACCAACGTCCCCATCTGCGCAGCCAATGCATCGCCATTGGACCGGAAGCCGTGCAAACACACGGCCTTCGGTCGACTGAGTTGAGACCTTAGTAGGACGTGTAGTTCAGCATTGGTGAAGTGCTGATGCCGTTTCGAAAAAAATCACAAGACCGAGATCTTTGAAAGATCTTAGGTTGTGACTGCGGACCTCCAGCAAAAGATTGCAAGAGTTTTCCTGAAAATGCAAAGAGACATCGAAAATTGCAATAGCATGTGATAGCTGCCAGGTCAGAACATCAAAGGCCTAAAAATTCGACATCGAAAAATCAGGAATTTCAACCCACACATCGCGAAAAGTTTCGCTTCAAGCCAAAGCAGCTGGGAGTTGGATTGTCAGAAAGATCTGCCACCGTGATGACCTTGCATCAATGTCCCACAAAATGCCGATCAAAATCCGCCGACCCCGGCAGACGCAAGGGGGAGCGCGCCAGGGAATAATACTTTTGACTCTTGTTTCGGACTACTACCGCAGCAGCAGCAGCAGCAGCAGGAGCAGCAGCAGCAGCAGTAGCAGCAGCAGCAGCACCAGCAGCAGCAGCGGCAGCAGCAGCAGCAGCAGTAGCAGCAGCAGCACCAGCAGCAGCAGCAGCAGCAGCAGCAGCAGCAGCGGACGACAGCACCAGCAGCGGCAGCTGCGGCAGCTGCAGCTGCAGCAGCAGCAGCAGCACCAGCAGCAGCAGCAGCAGCAGGAGGAAAAAGTAGCTAAAATAATCCTTTTCTATGGGTTTCAGAAGTTACATTAGGGAATTTTTGGTTGCAAAATAATCCTTTTCTATGGGTTTCAGAAGTTACATTAGGGAATTTTTGGTTGCAATTTTGATGCTTTTCCGTCCTTCACTGCCATGGTGTTTTCCCATCCGGGGGCTGTCTTTTGAACAGAAGGAGTAGCAAGAGCAGGAGCAGCAGCAGCAGCAGCAAGAGGAAAAAGTAGCTAAAATCATCCTTTTCTATGGGTTTCAGAAGTTACATTAGGGAGTTTTTAGTCGCAATTAGGAGGAAAAAGTAGCTAAAATAATCCTTTTCTATGGGTTTCAGAAGTTACATTAGGGAGTTTTTGGTCGCAATTTTGATGCTTGTCCGTCCTTCTCTGCCATGGTGTTTTCCCATGAGGAAAAAGTAGCTAAAATAGCTCATTTTCTCTCAGCAGCTAGCAGCCAGCCAGCAGCAGCCAGCAACTTTTAAAAGCTCTTAACAAGGTGGAAATAAGCTGGAAAAATGATTTTTGTAGGATTTCAGAAGGGACGTTCCGGCCTCGAAAAACGTCGATTTTGGCATCGGTTCGTCCTTTAGGGCCATGCTGTTTTACTGCCGGGAGGTGTTTCGGAGGCGTTCGCCAGCAGCAGCAGTAAGAGCGGTGCAGCAGCTAGCAGCCAGCTAGCAGCCAGCCAGCAGCCAGCCAGCAGCCAGCAGCTTTTAACAGCTCTTAACAAGGTGGAAATAAGGTGGAAAAATGATATTTTTGTAGGATTTCAGAAGGGACGTTCCGGCCCCGAAAAACGTAGATTTTGGCATCGGTTCGTCCTTTAGGCCATGCTGTTTTACTGCCGGGAGGTGTTTTGCAGGCGTTCGCCCGCAGCAGCAGTAAGAGCAGCCGCAGCAGTGCAGCAGCTAGCAGCCAGCCAGCAGCCAGCAGCTTTTGACAGCTTGTAACAAGGTGGAAATAAAGTGGAAAAATGATATTTTTGTAGGATTTCAAAGGGACGTTCCGGCCTTGAAAAACGTAGATTTTGGCATCGGTTCGTCCTTTAGGGCCATGCTGTTTTACTGCCGGGAGGTGTTTCGCAGGCGTTCGCCAGCAGTAGCAGTAAGAGCAGCGGCAGCAGTGCAGCGGCTAGCAGCCAGCCAGCAGCTTTTAACAGCTCTTAACGAGGTGGAAATAAGGTGGAAAAATGATATTTTGGTAGGATTTGTAAGATTTCAGAAGGGAGTTTTACTGCCGGGAGGTGTTTAACAGGCTAAGAGCAGCGGCAGCCGTGCAGCAGCTAGCCGCCAGCCAGCAGCAGCCAGCAGCTTGTAACAGCTCTTAACAAGGTGGAAATAAGATGGAATCTGAGATCTTTTTGTAGGATTTCAGAAGGGACGTTCCGGCCTCGAAAAACGTAGATTTTGGCATCAGTTCGTCCTTTAGGGCCATGCTGTTTTACTGCCGGGAGGTGTTTCGCAAGCGTTCGCCAGCAGCAGCAGTAAAAGCAGCCAGCTAGCAGCCAGCCAGCAGCTTGTAACAGCTTGTAACAAGGTGGAAATAAGGTGGAAAAACGCTAGTTTTCTAGGATTTGTAGGATTTCAGAAGGGAGTTTTACTGCCGGGAAGTGTTTAGCAGGCTAAGAGCAGCGGCAGCCGTGCAGCAGCTAGCAGCCAGCCAGCAGCAGCCAGCAGCTTTTAACAGTTCTTAACAAGGTGGAAATATAAGGTGGAAAAATGATTTTTGTAGGATTTCAGAAGGGACGTTCCGGCCTCGAAAAACGTCGATTTTGGCATCGGTTCGTCCTTTAGGGCCATGCTGTTTTACTGCCGGGAGGTGTTTCGGAGGCGTTCGCCAGCAGCAGCAGTAAGAGCAGCCGCAGCAGTGCAGCAGCTAGCAGCCAGCTAGCAGCCAGCCAGCAGCAGCCAGCAGCCAGCCAGCAGCCAGCAGCTTTTAACAGCTCTTAACAAGGTGGAAATAAGGTGGAAAAATGATATTTTTGTAGGATTTCAGAAGGGACGTTCCGGCCCCGAAAAACGTAGATTTTGGCATCGGTTCGTCCTTTAGGGCCATGCTGTTTTACTACCGGGAGGCGTTTTGCAGGCGTTCGCCAGCAGCAGCAGTAAGAGCAGCCGCAGCAGTGCAGCAGCTAGCAGCCAGCCAGCAGCCAGCAGCTTTTGACAGCTTGTAACAAGGTGGAAATAAAGTGGAAAAATGATATATTTTTGTAGGATTTCAGAAGGGACGTTCCGGCCTCGAAAAACGTAGATTTTGGCATCGGTTCGTCCTTCAGGGCCATGCTGTTTTACTGCCGGGAGGTGTTTCGCAGGCGTTCGCCAGCAGTAGCAGTAAGAGCAGCGGCAGCAGTGCAGCGGCTAGCAGCCAGCCAGCAGCTTTTAACAGCTCTTAACAAGGTGGAAATAAGGTGGAAAAATGATATTTTGGTAGGATTTGTAAGATTTCAGAAGGGAGTTTTACTGCCGGGAGGTGTTTAACAGGCTAAGAGCAGCGGCAGCCGTGCAGCAGCTAGCCGCCAGCCAGCAGCAGCCAGCAGCTTGTAACAGCGCTTAACAAGGTGGAAATAAGATGGAATCTGATCTTTTTGTAGGATTTCAGAAGGGACGTTCCGGCCTCGAAAAACGTAGATTTTGGCATCAGTTCGTCCTTTAGGGCCATGCTGTTTTACTGCCGGGAGGTGTTTCGCAAGCGTTCGCCAGCAGCAGCAGTAAAAGCAGCCAGCTAGCAGCCAGCCAGCAGCTTGTAACAGCTTGTAACAAGGTGGAAATAAGGTGGAAAAACGCTAGTTTTGTAGGATTTGTAGGATTTCAGAAGGGGGTTTTACTGCCGGGGAGTGTTTAGCAGGCTAAGAGCAGCGGCAGCCGTGCAGCAGCTAGCAGCCAGCCAGCAGCAGCCAACAGCTTGTAACAGTTCTTAACAAGGTGGAAATAAGGTGGAAAAATGATATTTTTGTAGGATTTCAGAAGGGACGTTCCGGCCCCGAAAAACGTAGATTTTGGCATCGGTTCGTCCTTTAGGGCCATGCTGTTTTACTGCCGGGAGGTGTTTTGCAGGCGTTCGCCAGCAGCAGCAGTAAGAGCAGCCGCAGCAGTGCAGCAGCTAGCAGCCAGCCAGCAGCCAGCAGCTTTTGACAGCTTGTAACAAGGTGGAAATAAAGTGGAAAAATGATATTTTTGTAGGATTTCAGAAGGGACGTTCCGGCCTCGAAAAACGTAGATTTTGGCACCGGTTCGTCCTTTAGGGCCATGCTGTTTTACTGCCGGGAGGTGTTTCGCAGGCGTTCGCCAGCAGTAGCAGTAAGAGCAGCGGCAGCAGTGCAGCGGCTAGCAGCCAGCCAGCAGCTTTTAACAGCTCTTAACAAGGTGGAAATAAGGTGGAAAAATGATATTTTGGTAGGGTTTGTAAGATTTCAGAAGGGAGTTTTACTGCCGGGAGGTGTTTAACAGGCTAAGAGCAGCGGCAGCCGTGCAGCAGCTAGCAGCCAGCCAGCAGCAGCCAGCAGCTTGTAACAGCTCTTAACAAGGTGGAATAAGGTGGAAAAATGATATTTTTGTAGGATTTCAAACGTTCCGGCCCCGAAAAACGTAGATTTTGGCATCGGTTCGTCCTTTAGGGCCATGCTGTTTTACTGCCGGGAGGTGTTTCGCAAGCGTTCGCCAGCAGCAGCAGTAAGAGCAGCCGCAGCTGGCAGTGCAGCAGCTAGCAGCCAGCCAGCAGCAGCCAGCAGCTTTTAACAGCTTGTAACAAGGTTGAAATAAGATGGAATCTGATTTTTTTGTAGGATTTCAGAAGGGACGTTCCGGCCTCGAAAAACGTAGATTTTGGCATCAGTTCGTCCTTTGGGGCCATGCTGTTTTACTGCCGGGAAGTGTTTCGCAAGCGTTCGCCAGCAGCAACAGTAAAAGCAGCCAGCTAGCAGCCAGCCAGCAGCTTTTGACAGCTTGTAACAAGGTGGAAATAAGGTGGAAAAATGCTAGTTTTGTAGGATTTGTAGGCTTTCAGAAGGGAGTTTTACTGCCGGGAAGTGTTTAGCAGGCTAAGAGCAGCGGCAGCCGTGCAGCAGCTAGCAGCCAGCCAGCAGCAGCCAGCAGCTTTTAACAGCTCTTAACAAGGTGGAAATAAGGTGGACAAATGATATTTTTGTAGGATTTCAGAAGGGACGTTCCGGTTCCGAAAAACGTAGATTTTGGCATCGGTTCGTCCTTTAGGGCCATGCTGTTTTACTGCCGGGAGGTGTTTCGCAGGCGTTCGCCAGCAGCAGCAGTAAGAGCAGCCGGAGCAGTGCAGCAGCTAGCAGCCAGCCAGCAGCTTTTAACAGCTCTTAACAAGGTGGAAATAAGGTGGAAAAATGATATTTTTGTAGGATTTGAGAAGGGACGTTCCGGCCCCGAAAAACGAGATTTTGGCATCGGTTCGTCCTTTAGGGCCATGCTGTTTTACTGCCGGGAGGTGTTTCGCAGGCGTTCGCCAGCAGCAGCAGGCATGTTGCACCCCCACATGCCGTTTTTCCACAATACCTAATGGAAACCATACAATCGTCATCCATTTTCCTTCTTCACATTTTGAAATTTCCTCTTGATCCACGGCTTGGCTCCCTCACTTGGGTCGAAGTCTGCAAGGGCAAAGTGTAGCCAAAATAACCATGGGCAAGTCACATCTGCAGCATGTCGTTCTAACAACTCTAAACAAATAACTTTTGCGTGGCGCACAAAAAAATGATGCACCGCACCTTAGGTCTTTGTGATGATATGTGGTGACCTCTAAGCTGGAGCTTTCTTATCCTAATAGCTTTTAGCAGTTTAGTCTTAGGTCTCTCAGCCCAAATGCACATAGATGTGTTGTTCAGTTCAGAGCAAGCTTCATGTCAACTGTCTCGTCACTCTTGCCTGTTTCACCAGCCCTTGATGAAATTGGAACATTGCGGCATCTGCTCAAGGCCTATAAGTCATCTGCATCAGGTATATTTTGCCGGATATTGTTTCACTTTCTCGAACAGTTGCATGGTCCGCAAAACATGCGGAACCTTACGAAAGTTTACTTCGGCAAGAGAACCTTTACTTATTCTTTTCCGGGGTCGGCGGCAGGGGCGGCAGCCCTTAAATCATCAAATTGACCAAAGATCAAAGATCAACCAAAGATCCAGGAATCCACAAACCAATCGCTTCAGACCCACTCTGATCATTTCAAGTCGCCATCTGATAAGTTCATATAGTTTCTGTTTCTCCGATTCTCCACACCTTGTTGACCTTTGAAGACAATCGCCGTGCCAATGAGATGAGGCTCAAAGAATCCAGGCCTCGGGATGTCTGTTGCAGTGCCAAGCAGTACCACACGGCCATCTTCCACAGCTTTCGTTTCTTGATGTTTTTTTGGCAACCGTACATGTATCATCATGTATCATCATATCATCTGTCTATCAGTTAACGTGTCCGACCTGGCTATGTAATCTGACATGGTGTATATGTCATGCTATTTCATCAAATCTATTGTGCGCTAAGATACGTGCACTATCAGTGTTTAAGAGATAAAACTAATATAAAACTGATAAAACACCTTTCACCTTTCCCATAGATATCCCATCAGCCACAGAGCTTGCGGAGATTTGCGGAGCTTGCAGCGCCTGCATCTTCAAAGGTGGTGTCCATCTCAATGGGACCAGCCATTTCCTCAACGATGCTGAAGAGCCATCCACCTGGTGAAGAGTCGAAGAGTCACATGATAGACACAATGCTTTAGCTGATGGAATCATCGAATCAACCACAAAGCTAGAAATCAGTGTCCCAATCTTCAGTACATCTGGATATAACATCTGGATATAACATCCATCGCTATCCATCGCTATCCATCTGGATCTCCAAATACGTCGAAGTCGCCACGGATCGCAACGGCACTCTGAGGCTTCGACGCAAATCGCCTTCAGGTTCGTCCTCTGAGGTGATGACAAGTCCTGCGAAAGCATTGAGACATTGAGAAAACATTCAAACAGAATCTATAAATAATATGTTATATAGATATGAATTATAATGATAAATATGGATAAAAACATAAATGTCGCTTCACACACGATTTCCCTGTTGGAACTGCGAGAGGAGGCAATCCTGATGTCATTTCAGGACTCCGCAACTGTCCTCCCAAAGTAAGCCACTCGTCCAGGTTGCTCAAAGGCTCCCACCGAGGAAGCACAAGGCAGCCAGCCTTTCCAGGCTTTCCAGCTTTGCTTTTAGATTTGGAGCAGTGGCCAAGGGACGAATATCAATGGATTGAAATGAAATATCGTTGCCAAGTTGTTCGATTGGGAACGGGTTGGGGCAGGTTGCGCCTCGGGACTCACCTCCTTGAGAATGGCAGCAACGGATTTGGAAGTCGTGATGACCTCGGGGTGCGCTCAAGGGCCTTGTCCAAGTGCGGATTTCAAACACGTGATGACCATTGAATCAATACTGACAATACTTATTCATAGGATTTCATAGGATCTCATTGAAAGATTGAAAGAGCAGTACCCAAAAACCTACTGTGGATAGTCCAAACTTATTGACAAATACAACTCAAGACAACCTCCTTTCCATTGGGTCCTGGCCATCTGCGCTTGGTCTAGCTTCTCCGGGACATCTTCCAAGCACTGCACGCAGTGCACCCGCACACCACCTGTTGAAGGCACAGTCGAACTACAGGAAACGAAATGGACGTCTCGATTTGGCAAGGCCAAGGAAAACAGGCAAACCGCACACCTTCCTCTGTGCCAGCTGCACGAAGGGACTGGGTCATGATGTCCTTGGACGAAAGAAACAAGATGGATCAGTCAAAAAATGGATACACCACATGATCTGTTTTGTCTCCATTGATATCGCACATCTAAGAATTTGGATGCAACATATGCAACGAAATAGTCTGCGAAGAATTCAGGTTCAAAATCGTCACGTCTCTGGCAAGTGTCTCCGGCAGAGCCGATCACTTGAGGTCGGCTGGGCAAGACAGGTACACCATCTTCAACAGCCACCAAGACCTTTCCAACGTGGATGCCCTTGGCAAAGTATTCCAAGGCACCTGAAGTTGTTTTCGGAGGCTGGGTTGAATATGTTGCATGCTATTTTCGTCGGAATCTCTGGGATTCTGGCCTTTTAGATTCGCCATGCCGAAGGTTTTCGTCGGTAGCCGTGGGAGGCTTGGCAGCTCTGCCCAAACCTGGCACACTTCACCACTTTTGTCATACGCTGCTTGGAAAGCAATTTAGACTCTTGTTTCTCTAAGATTCTGGATATTCACTAATATTCATGATATATTCAAAATATGAATCGATAATTTCTATAATTCCATCGTATTCCACATATATAATCATATATAATCAATGTTGATCCTGATTTTGGGGATGCTCTTTCAGTTGTTTGGTGCTAATGTGACACGTGCTGACCTTTTGACCTGTGAAGATTTCCGTCCCGGCACCTCCTCCAGCAGCTTTCTGCATTCGTTGGGTCGTTTCAGCATCAAAACATCAAAATGCGCCGCATGGTACGAGATGCCTGGCGACATCTGGCGACATCTGGCGATGGACCAACTGCCGCCAAGGAACATCCGGGTTCACTGAGTAGTTCACTCTTGATCACTTGAATCGCTTGACCAGCTCGAGTCATGACTCGAGCCCTTCACATTGGCTTTGCCTTTGTTTCTGGTGGCTTTCTTGTTTCGTCTTTTCATCAGACTAGAGCAGTCCTGGCTTGTCTCCTTAATTTCTTGAAGATTCAGTCAGTATGCTTTCAGAGGCGTCCTTTCTCTATTTTGTACTCTGTTTATCTCTGTTTAACTTGAAGCTCATGCTGCTCAAAATTCTCTCAGTCCCTGCCTTTCAGGAAAGGCGTCAGTTCCATTTGGGTGCCCTCGTATTGGTCACGTTTACCAATCTCCACAAAGCGACCAAAGTCCCGAAGCCTTGGAGATCCAACAGGAAACCAACAGGAAACCAACAGATATCAAAAGATGAAGAGATCTGAAGAGATCTGAAGAGATGTAAAGAGATGTTGTGCGGGGCCATGTGAAATCCCTCTGGTGGATCGGATTTCATGTAATCACGAAACTGCAATTGAAAGCATCTCATTTAGCCCACATTGAAACCACATCAAAGACATTCAAAGACCAGGCACAAGTTCAAGGATGCTGGAATGGCTTTGCCACTCAGGGAGTTCAGGACCACGTCAACCCCCTCCCCATCAGTGGCCTGCCGAGCAAATGACTTGCAGCATACGGCTATCCGATTTTATCGATGGCAATCGCCGGATTTGTTTTGGAAGCTGAATCCCTTGGTTTGAGAATAGAAATGAAGCCTCCTAAGAATGGTGGTCTATGAAAGAACTCTTTTGACCGCTCCTCCAGAATTCCTTCCTCGAAATCTGCCACTTTTCTGCTGTGGAAAGCTTGTGCACCCAGCTGCCGGAGAAGTGCGCGCTTCTCCTGCTTGAAACTGTTCAATTTTGTAATCCAAAACCGATCTTATTCGATCTTCATGAATCTTAAATGTCTTAGATATCCACATCATCCACTCCAGACAATTGAAAGATTCGCTCACAGACTCGGTCACAGTTTCACTGGATTCACTTTTGTATCAGCTGTTTGGCTGGAAAGCTCTCCAATCTCCTCGGTTGAAGCAGTGGCATACACTTCGCAGCCAGCCTTGCGACACCGGGAAAGCTCAGAACATCGAGCACTGGCACAATACCCGGTGTAAACCAAATTCCCAGCACGACACCACTGCTTTCACTGGACCTTCTTGCAGAGATGCACTGCTGCCAAGCCCACACCACCAGCAGCGCTGTGGATCAGGACCTGGATATGAATTTAAGAAATTTTAAGAACTCAAAATCCAGTAAAGTCATGTTAAAGTCATGTAAAGTCAGCATGCTTCGTGTGTACGGTGTTGTCTCTTGAACTTTCTATTGCAGCTCAGAGTTGAGAACAATATGCCGAAACACTCACTCGCGATTGCGAAGGCACAGGCAGGGTCTCCACTAGAGAGATGGAAGTGGATCAGAACTACGTACGTACATCTTGGATTCAACTCCTAACTCGATCAAAGATGATTTGTCTGGCTTCAGCTTTCATCTTGGCTTCCAGCGCGCTCACCGGCTCTGATTCTTGCCATCCAGTGCAAAGCCAGCCATGCCGTGGCATAGGCACAAGTGCCTACGGAGCACGTGAGAAACACTCAAGCGTTGAGTGACTATGACTGCAAAACACATCAAAATACTACAAATATCAATGGAAACAAACTCTAAACTCCAAACGTGTCTGGGAGCCCACCCTGCATCCGAGAGTGGGAGTGCCTGCGACTGCCTCTTCTGGGCTCATGCTTTCAGGTGCTTTGGTCACCACTCGGGCATCTGTAACCAAGTAGGAACCTGATCCAACGAATCTCAGTCATGTTTTTTCCTCCTAAACTCAAAAAATCAATAAACCAACCAGGAAAAATAAGACTTCTCGGCTCAGGAAGCAACCCATGCCGTCCGGAGGTGTTGCAATGACAACATCGCCCACAGCCACATCAGTCACACCTTCACCTGTCAAGAGTGATGATGTCTTGCACATGCAAAAGGTTCATGGATGCACCATGATGTCTCCATGATGGACATATCTTGGCAGTTGCAGTTGATGGCAGTCTCACCATGACAGCCTCATGGCAACCCTGGCCTACGGAAGTCACAGTGCCATAGCATTCTCCGCCAAGGCCCAAAGAGGTACCGCCGACATTCGCAGAGATGGCACCGACTGCCACGAGCACATCACCTGTTCTCACAATGATTTTGCATGATTTTGCCAGTTGTGTTTCCTTCCTCAAAGTTCAAACCCTCAAAGTTGTGTTCCGAACTTCGTTATCCTGCTTATCTCCAAACTTTGTCATGTTTGGCGTTGACTCCCTTTGCTGCCAAGTGTCGGAAGTTTAAGGCCCACAGTGAGCTGTGAATCTCCACTTCTCCCTTCTGAGGAGCACGACGCTGACAGCGCCGACACCTGAGGCGAAGCTGAGGTCAAAGCCATGCCCAACGGAAAGCTGATGAAAGGCTGCACAGTCATCAAAGATTATCAAAGATCATCAAAGAATATCAAAGTAGCCTTTCACATCTTTCATCATCTTTCACTATTGATGCAATTTGAATCAATTTGATGCAAATGCCAAGAGCTTCGGAGTTAACAGAGGCAGGTGCTGGGCTCCCTTGGAAGCTTTTGAGGAGTCGATCTCCACCACGTATGGTTCGAACCTGCAAGATCAGAATCCAATCTGAACACGCCAGTGAACATGGGTTTTGACTCTTTGACCATACAAACACAACCTTCTAGGGTTTGACTTGACAAGGGAACCTGGGACCTGCCTCATGAATCTGAGGCACAAGCAAGACAGATTCGGCGGCATAACTAATAGAAGAGAAGATTTCACCAGCATTTGCTTGTCTCTACTTTGTGATTGAAATGTATATACATCTACATACCATGTACAAAATGGTCTACCAGTTTATCTATTAGGACTTTCTTGTGAAAGTGTCTGTGTGTGTGTGTCCTCCTCTTGGGAAATGTCAAAGACTTTGCCTCGCCTGGAAGCTTCAAGTGGTGCAGCTTTCTCTGCAGCCACCACCTTGTGCTGGAGCAGCTTCAACCGACCTTGTAGGGTCCGGCAAAGTCGGTTTCACTGTGAAGCGGATCAGTTCTCATCAGTTCTCATCAGTTCTCATCCGTTCTTAACTCGCCAACTCAGCAGTGGACCGTCTTCTTCAACGATTCGCAGGGTGGACTCAGCCAACGATTCCAAATGTTGAGACTATGGAAGAAACGAAATCACCAAACCAACAGAGAATATGCAGTGGAAAATCGTTGAGTCTGAGATCAAAACATCTTTGAATACTATCTAATATATCATGATCATATATGAATCATATATTAAAATATTATATAAATATATTAACAGAATATTGACATATTGTTTTCGTATTTGCTCTCCGAAATGCCGAACTGCACATTTTTCTGATGCCAAAGGGCCGTCGCGTCCATGCCGAGCTCCAGGGAGAGCGCTTGGAACTGCTCGGCAGTGCCCAGCACGGCCATGGCACCCACCTCTCGCGAAACGACCGTTAGCACCGTTCTACCCAGGGGTTTTACCATGGTTTTACCATGTTATGCCAATGATATGCCATGTTATTACATATTACACCTCATGTTATAACCATGTTATAACATGTTATAACCTCATGTTATACCGTATAAACATACCTTTCAAACGTTTTTGAAGCTTCACACGAATTGATGGCTTTACACAGGCTTTGCACAGGTTTTTCAGTCGTGGTCTTGTCATCTTCTAGTGATTCTGTTGCATCCCTTATAGTGGATCGTTGCTTTGATATGAATACGGTTAAGTCATGTTCAGTCGTCTTTTGCCAGGTGTCCATGCCATGTGACAGCGGTGCCAAGGGGCCATGCCATGTGTCCCAGTTCGGCCTCCACAGCAGCCTCTGCAGCAGCTTCTGCAAAGGTGTAACCTGCGAAGTGTGCCACGAAGTGACTGACATCAGTTGATGTGGGTCTCACAACTGGAGGCATACCATGGCATCCCAAGATATTCCAATCATTGCTTTCCCCTTTCGAATCGTTCGAATATTCGAATGGTTTGGTGGTCACCAGGCCTTCTCCCTGCAAGCACAGCACCCAGCAACGGCACTTGGCTGCGAGGCTTTGCACCTCATGCTGATAGCGCTTCCTTAGTGACTGGGACTGCCACGCAGCGCGAGAAAGTGCAGCGGTTTTTATCTGTTTTTATCGGTTTTTATCTGTTTTTATCTGTTTTTCCTCTGCCAATCTGTAGAGTCAGACAACGACACTAAACGACAAAGCCAAAAGTGACACCATGTGACACCTTTGACTAGTACAAAATGATACAAAATGATACAAATTGCATGTACCACATGAACTGTGCTCTTTGCATTTCTGCCTTACCTTGGATTATCCCATGCAGTTAGCTGTTTAGCTGTTTGAGGGTCCTCAAAGCCAAGCTTCACATCCTCCACGCTTTTGGCCTTCACGGCTATTGCCACTGCTTCATGAGGCTCCTCTTCCTTCTCCTCAAATCTCCGACACGTTCCAACACGTTCCACGGCTAAAATCCCTGATGTCTTCTTTCGTGGCGAGGTCTTTGGGCATCCAGCTGTGGAAAGGTACCTTTTTTGTATTTGCTCTATGATCCTTTCTGATCTAAAGGAGAGCCATATGGTTCATTGTTGTTCATTGATGTTCATTGATGTTCATTGCTGTGCATTGATGTTCATTGATGTGCATTGATGTTCATTGATGTGCATTGATGTTCATTGATGTTCATTGATGTGCATTGTCACTATGTAGATGCAGTACATTGTACCAAATCCTTCCGAGGAGCAGTGACTTCTGGCAAAGAAAGTTTCTTGACCTCTTCTCCAACCTGTCACTTGATCTCAGGTGGGACTGTCGACCAGTCATGAGGAAAACTCCGGTGAAGGGATTGGATGCCAAGAATTCCCAGACTGATACTGCTTGCCACTGCTTGCTGCCACAAAGTAAAACAGCACCAGAATTCTGCCAGGGTGCTACTCTCCAGCAAGATCTCCGGGCTTGTGCGGTCTCCTGGTACAATAGGGGGATGACGCCATTTGGTAAACTATTGACTGGCAATGCGGCAATACCAACATCAGTGTCACTTCAGACTCTGGTCCTCCCACACGACTCGGCTGTTTTTGAGTGGAACTCCAGCGTGCATCGTGGCCAAAGCGAGGCCTTCATCGATCAATCAAATGAAACTTGCACAAATCCACGAAGCTTCCCCAACGCGGCACCTTCAACGTTGCACACCAGCTGGTCTTCATTGAAGATTCTGACCTCATTGGGGTCACAAGATGCAGGGTACTGGCACAGTACCCTGATAATGATGCGCATTCCCTCTCGCTCTCGTTCGGTCTCGCTCTTTCTAACTCTCTCTCTCTCTCACTGCTGCTGCTGCTGCTTTTATGCAGCGAATTCGAACCCACTGAGAATCCATCGTCCACGCTTTCCTCCCCTGCAAAAAGAGACAGGAGAAGCACCGAGAGACCATTGGTTTCCAGCTGAGAGGTGGAATCGAGTTGCAGCTGCATCATGTTGCATCAATATTTTATATTTATATCCCCCCCCCTTTAGGGGGGGGTGGGGGGGGTAAAAACTGAAATATTTCACTTTAGGGGGGGGTCTCCCCCCCCCCCACACACCTAGAAATATTTCACCTCCCTAAAGTGAAATATTTCAGCTAAAAAAATCTGGTCTATAATGGCTTTGGGCGTGGTTGAATTCAAGGCTGAACGTCATGTTCTGAAGGCTGTTTGGCAAGTTCACTCTCTTATTTACTTTCTTGGAAACCGGCAGTTACCATTTACCTAGTTGTCAGTGTTTGCGCGTGGGCCCTACCCGCGTAAGGACTAAAAAGGTCCAAAAAGGAACAGCGTCCGGAGGAACCCCCCCCCCACATCTTTTAGAAGCCCAAAAAAATACGTGGGGGGGGGTATATTTCACGTGGTCAGGTGAAATATTTCTCAGAAATTTCTTGCCTTACCTCCCCCCAAATATTCCAGGGTTAAAGGGGGGGATATATTTATATTTATAGTTGGTCTAATGTCTTCGTGCCTATCAGCTATCTATTACTATTACATACTATTACTATCATCAAAGATCCTTTAAAATCTTCACCACTCTCCACTCCCCATTGAAAGATCGTCTTTGCCGTTGCGCATCATGCCTCTCTGCAAACGTCCTTCAGAGTTGGTGAGCTTGGAACCCACCTGAAAGCTGCTGTTATTCACGCCAGTTCACGGCATTGCTTTGCTGTGCTTTTCCAGGATGTTCAGGAGTCCATCAATGAATTTCAGACAATCTGTCAGACTCTGAAAGGACGCTGGTGGTGAGATGGAAAGTCCCTAATGGAAACTTGTCCAAGTATCCCTTTTTGATCCATTTTGACCTCATGGATTTCTGCCGACACTACCCTCTGGCCTTAGCCGTGAGGCGGCGAATGGACTGAGGAGCACCTGGTGGCGGCACACATCTCGCCACAAGACACGGACACAATGAGCTCAGTGAATCTCAGTGACACACTCAGCATGTCTAGGCGTTTGGAGCGTTTGGAGCGTTTGGAGCGGGTGGAGCGGGTGGAGCGGGTGGAGCGTTTGTCTAAAGCTGTTCAGCCTCGCATGCCCAAAGGATGAACCAAGGATGCCAATTGCAGCGCCACATCCAAATGTGCTGGATCCAACGCCAAATCTGCCGGGACAGAGGGCGTCGTAGGCGAGTATCTAGACATGAAGGACATGTCTGAATACCTGAAAACCGCTCTTTCAATTCCTCCTAAGTTTGTAAGACATGGTAAAACAGCTGGGGCAAGCAAAAAAAAACCTGCTTCCAAAAATCACTGAATCCAATGGCACAAAACGTTCCCACCATGTGCTACCCGCAGCAGCACCTCGCATGGCCATGCTGCATGATGGCATAGAGCAGACTGCTGCATCGTTGCCCAACGCGAAACCGTGGCCTCACTCGAACCCACCAAGAGTCACTTTTTAGGAAGAAAAAGGAGGAAAAACCGGAAACCGGAAACCGACAAAAAAGCAATCAGTAAACTCCGTAAAGTCTCCACTTTAAGCACTGGTGTCATGATTGTCATGTCACAATTGTTTTTCTCTGTGTGTTTGAGCGCAGCATCTTTTTCTGTCGATTCAATGGATCACAACTCGCCTTTGTCATCCTCAGCCTTCAGCTTTTTTCGCTGTTCTGAGAGCAGCTGCTCGCGCTGTTTCAACGCGTGAGCTGCATCGAAGTCCTCCTTCTCTACAGCTTCCATCTTCTTCACAGAGATTTCACTCAACTCTCGTTCGATGGCATCGATGTCCGTTGGAAGCGGATCCTCCTTCTCGGATTTCTCAGACTTGCTGGTATTCTTGTCCTTCTTGGGCTTGGTCTCCTTCGGTTTTTTGATCTTCTTTAGCTTTTCCCATTCCTTCTTGACCTTGGAGATCTGACTCAAAACCTCCTGCTTGGTGTATGCTGGAGCTTCATGAAGAGGAATCTTCTTCTGCTGCTCCTGCTTCTTCTCCCACCAGGATTCAAATTCTGTGAGTTTCTCCGCAGCAGCATCTGTCTTGTTGGAGCTCACCCATGTCATGTTCTTCAGAACATGTTTCTTCATCTCTTTGATCGTCTCCATCTCCTCGGTCACTGTGTCTGGGAGATCTGCTCTCGATTCCATCTCTAAGGCGCGTTCCTCCATGGGACTCAACAAGTCCTGCAAGGCCTTCAACTTGGTTTCGAATTCACTCTTTGGATGATGACCAGCCTCATGAATCCAGTCCTCATACTCGGTGCACAACTTGCTCACCCCTTCCCGTTGCTGTTCAGTGGACACCTTCACAATGTCATCTCGTTCCATTTTGTCACGACTGCCATAGATGTAAGCCTCAAGCTCATTCCTGAGACCGGCCATTGCAGCCGCCTCCTCCTCGTGCTCCTTCAGCGCTTTCAGCCGCTTTTGAAGCTCCTCAATCTTTTCATCAGTCAAAGGCTTGGGCAAGTAGTCTAGCCTCTTCACAGTCAATTTCTTTTCATGTTTCTTTTTCTTCTGTTTCAAAACAACCTCTGGTTCTTCAGTGGCATTACTGTCATTGCTCTCCTCTTTCTCATCTGTTTTCTCCTCTTTTTTCTCATCTTTGTTCTCCTCTGTTTCATTGCTTGCCTCACTGGCATTGCTTTCTTCGGTCGCATTTTTGGATTTTGAAGCATTGGCTTTGGGCTTTTCCTTTGTGACGTTCACCCAGTAGAGTTCCTCAATGGTTGCCATGGGCTGCTTCACCTCCACAATTCCGCTGGTCTCCAACGGCACCGACACCGAGATCTTTGGAGGACCGGTGGTGTTGTACGGTTTCCATTTGTTCTCCAACAGGTCCTTCAGACCGGTAACACTGTACTCTGACACCAGGATCGTATTCTCAAAGACCTTCACCTTGAAGTCTTCCTCCATGGTGAAGGACAACTTCTTCTTTGAGCCAAGAGCACTGCCAACGGGATACAAAACTGTGAGGTTCTTCTCCCAAGTTCCATCCAAACCTGTGACCTGCACGGCGTACTCGTGGGCGCTAATGTCGGAGAAGAAGATCTTTTTGACGCGGAAGGAGCTGCTGGAGTTGGCTGCCACCAGGGCAGCTCCCATAGCACCTGCTTCCTCACCGTTCAAGTGCTGCCCAAGAGGAAGGCTGGACTCTCCAGATTTGAAGTGACTGGAAAGAATTTGTTGAACCTTTGGAACTCGCCATGCTCCACCAACCACCTCCACAAACTTGATGTCTGCCATGGTCACATTGGCAGCTGCAAGTGCCTTGTCGATAGGTCTAGACAGTGCATCAAACATGTCCTGGCACATACTTTCGAAATCTTCACGTGAAAGCGTGGCCTGGAAGTCGGTGTCCTCATATAGGGACTCGACGTTGAAGGGCGCCACCTTGTTGGAGCTCAGGACCATTTTGGTCTTTTGCGCCTGCGAGAGGATCTTCCGCAAAGCCCGAGAATTGGTGATCACACCATCTTTGAACTTGGGAAACTTCTCCTGAAACTTCTTCAGCATCTTTTCTGCAATTCGAAGGTCCATCAAGTGGCCTCCAATGCTGTAGTCAATGGCTGAGCCAAGGACGGTCAACACTGGAGCCATTTTCCCTGCCACCATACCTGCACTGCGGCTTTCGAACCTCACAATGGAGACCTCAGCCTTTCTGGAACCGAGGTTGTAGAAAAGGTGAATGTCACTGGCCCCCTTGTCTGGGGTCACATCAACTGCCCGCTGCACAGCGAAGGCAGATGTTTCATGCACCAGAGTGAGAACTCGAAGTCCAGCGATCTCACCAGCCGAAACGATGGCCTGTCTCTGTCTCAAGGTCGCATCCGATGGCACGGTGACCACCAATTCACGGACGGACTTGCCATCCGCAGAGTCTTCCGACATCTGCTTCGCAAAGGACAAAATGCTGGCGAGGATTTCCTCACCCTGAAGAAGATGAGCTTCATCTTCGCCCACTTTGAAGGTTGGGACACCACGTTCTACGTCATATCCGAGATCGAACTTGTAGAACAGGTCGCTGAGACCAAATTTCTTCCACCAGGGGCCACCGCTCTGCACATCAGCCTCTGAGGTAAAGTTCTGGCCCAGCAACGAATGGAAAAATGTGGGTACCTTCGTTGGAGCTTTGCTGATATGAGCAAGGGCATCATCTCCAAATACTCTGCTAGCCTCAAAGAAAGACACGGCCGTGGTGGTCTTTCGTTTGGAGTGGGAATTGAGGACAATTTCCAACGGCATCCCCTGTCGCATCAGCGCCACCTTGAAGAACTCGTGCCCCAGGTCAACGCTCATGATCTGTGCCTGGGCTGAAAGTATCGCACCGGCCAGAAACACGATCCATGGTCGACCAGGGAGGACCATGATGGCCAGATCGCTAGATCCTCCCTGCCAAAAAAGAGGCAAAGTCTTCAAGTCTTCTCAGTTTTGAATTGAGCCGGAATGGCTCAGGTATCACATCAGGTTTGACCAGAGTGACTCTCATCAACTCATCACTCTAATCATTACTCTAATCTGAATCGGCTTCAAGTTGCAAGCTTCAGTATGCGTCCTGTCAAAGCACAAACTTCCACCATCCAAACGAGGTCAAACCAGACATCGCAACAACTGGGCACAGTGATCACGGAGGACCAGACCTTGGAAATCGGGTCCGTAGAAATATCCAGCAGCGGCAAACTGGTCCTTGGTGAATCAAACATCACAACCATGGAATCAGAAAGGGGTCTGGCTTGAACATGTCCTGTCTGTAGAATAACTGCAAACATCAGAAAATCCAAGCAACATAAATATCCTCCACTGGAATCAGTGCTCCCTGACAGCATTGTGGCACAAAGGCTTTGGATTCTCAACGTGTTTCACGTTTGCTCTTAGCATAGTCAGAGGTTGAGTGTCACCAAGTGTATGCATCCACTGCTGGTTCCAGCTGCGGGCCATGGGCCTGCGTTGCTTGCATCCTCGGCCGCTGCACAACTTCTGCTGACGTGAAGTTGGCAGTGCAGTGCAGCGCCTCTTTGGAATCCTCAGGTGACAAGCGGAGACAAGGCAATCCACATGGCAATGGCCATCTCGGGACCGCCCTATGCCGAAACTGCTAATGACCCGTTTTTTCTACCTGGTGAAATGAACATGATCAAATAAACAAATAAACCTTGAAAAACAACAAATTAGATTGAGAAAGAGTAAATAATGTAAATACTCCTTTTTTGCCAAGCTGCTTCATTGCCATCAGCTCGGCTGCTAAAACGCAAAGCACCACCTGTAGGACACATCGGCGCATGTCTTGCTGACTCCCGTTTTGTTCTGGGGACAGTATGGGCAGTATGGGACGAGTAGTCACTAGACATTTCTTAGAAGGACAAAGTTTGAAGTCGCCCTATGTTGAACACCGCCTGATGCACTCTTTGTGACCGTGAGGGTTAGCTGTCGGACGCTCTGGAGCTCCAAGGGCATGATGAATTTTACATCCTGACAGGACGCGATCGAACGCGTGTTGTGAATTACTCTCTCCAGATCCCATGAACATCATCCATTTTATTTAAATTAATTATATAATACTTATTGATATTAGATTTAAATCTCCAATATTTTTGACTTCCCGATGGACTTCTGACGGTTCAACGCAACGTGTGACACGCTGCACTCCTGCAGCTGGACGCTGTCCGTCTGTAGGACCTGGGACGAGACCTCCAAGGCCAAGGCCAGCAGCGCAGACCCAGGCAGTACCTTGCAGATGTGGAGAGTGACAGTCTTGAAGTAACACATAGTAACACATAGTAACACCACATGCTCCAATATGATCCACTCGTATCATAGTTTCATATAGTTTCTATGATTTTCTATGTCAAAGTACTGAACTAGCACCAAAGTATGTGCACATAGATCGTCAGACATCTTCAATATTCTGCAATATTACACTGACAGGTTCTGCACATAGAATGCAGACAGGTTCTTTGGGATTTCTCTCTGTTGCACTCGCAATGCGACAAGGCACCGGCACACCGCTGACCATGTGCTGCTGACAGAGCTCTAAACTCTGACGACTGCCACGATGGCGACTGCCAGCAGCGCCCAAGGTCCAAACCTCGAGACTTGGCACCGAAGCTTCGAAAGCATATCGGGATTCGAAAGAAGGGGGAGCCAAAGGGCTGGACTTGGAAGGGTGTGACTGGGGTGTGACTGGGGTGACTAGATGACTATGACATTGCTATGACATGCTATGACTATGACGTGGCATTGGCTTCAAAAATCGCTATGCGACTGCCTGCTTCAGCTGATCTGGACTTGGCCGAGGGATCTCCACCTAGCAGGAATTTGGTGAAGCTTGCATTGAAGACAAAAACGCAGACTGCTTTCCAGCACAAGGGTCAAAGTTATCAGTTATCCGGTAGTTATCCGTTTGTTAGTTTGTTTTATTTTGTTTTCATGATTGAAACCAGTCAAACATGTGAAAGCCTGGTTTTGCAAGAAAAGAATTTCGGTGTTCATCCCAAGGCCTCAATGGTTGCGAGCAGCGCATCGTCAGGTGCGAAGACCGTCTTTTGCTGCCGGAAGACAGGCCAATGCCTCAGTCTCCGGGTGTTCGGGTCGTACTTTCCATTGCACCCAACCTGCTTACAGGCCGACCCATGTCGACCCATGTTGACATTTGGATTCGGCTTCTTAATTAATCGTTCTCCTTGATGCCAAATTTTTGTGCGGCAACGAACTTGACGAGCCACACATCCAGCACAGCCAGCGGAACTGCTCGCTCCTGGCCCAACAGAAAGAGACATGCGGCCATGAGGTCCATTGTCTTTTGGGATGATTACAGCTCGTTCTTGCGTCGCAAATGCCGGAGGAATTGAAGTGCTTCAAGATGTTTCAAGATGTTTCAAGATGTTTCAAGATGTTTCAAGTTTCAAGCGCGAAATGTGCCACGAAGGCTCCCAGCCTCCGCATCCAGGATGCGACCGAAACACTCCAGGCCATCGTTGACAGGGACGAAGTGCTCCCCAGGAAGTGGCCTTGGATGTCGTGATACTCCGTGCGCCGTGCAATGCCGCGCAATGCCGTGCAGAGATGCTTTGCTGGGACAGCTGGGAAGCTTGAATCATTGAGGACATTTGAGGACTGGACTCGATCCCCAAGTCTTCTACCATGCCAGTCTCAGCCCAACCTGTCCAAAATAGGTTGCTGTGTTTGTTGCTATCTAGAACTGCAAAGTACCGCATGTCTACTTCAGTGACGGCCTCCCCACTGGATAGATGGCATCACAGCATCCACGAAGGTGTTGCCTGCCATGTTCAGAGAAAGATGAGAAAGGTCGGTTGAGCAACTTGAGTAATCCGAAGTAATCCATGTTTTGCATTAGTTTTTACTGTTTGCAACTGGCCTAGCATTTAAAGTCCCAAAGCTCAATTTCTTTCGTTTCATAGTGACCATGTGTCATAATGCCACAAACATCTATGACCATCCATGACCCACGACCACCCGTGAAATCTGTTCGAATCCCACCTGCGGCATATGTGGATTGTCCGGGGACACCAAGAAGCCCGGAGCTCGAAGAGAAGGCCAACTGCAGCCGTTGCAACATGGACGGGTCAACAACTGCAGCCGCAAGAATCGCAAGAGCATAGAAAAGCGACATCGATTCATCGATTCATCGATTCACCCGGCGCCTTTTTCGCGTTGGGAAACTTCTTCCTGACATCCGGGTGACATCCGGGTGACATCCGGGTGAAAAATCGACATCGCAACGTGCACCCGTGAGTCAATGTGTTCACTGCGGTTTCTCGTTTCTCCCATTTCTCCGCACCTGAGGTGCAAAGATCCGCGAATCTTGGGATAGATCACCTGCGACTCTTTTACTGATCTGATATGATCTGATCATAATCAACACACACAAGGAGCTTTCATGAGCTTTCCAAACCAGCTCCAATCCCTACACTGCAATACATTCACCATGCACGCAGCATCTTTGATGGAAAACACAGCTGCATCTGTCAACCGGAAAGGTCAGCGGATATCGAGGGCCTTCCTCACATCTTCCCTGGTCAACTTGAGCAGAACGCCGTCCTATCCAAAGCGACTCAGAGTGGAGAAGTCGAAACTTCGAAACTCGGCACCCATCCTTCACGGCACCCGCGCAATGCACCACCAAGTCAACGTCAGGCAGAGACTGCACCTGTAGCATGTCAACGTGATCTCTTTAAAATAAACTGGAAAACATGGTGCTCAACCGACAGTATCTCTTTCAAAACTTTCGGACAACTTCCAATATTTCAAATACGAGCGTAAGTCCATCAGCACCATCGCCACAACCGCCACAACCATAACCCAAATGACCATCCCGCGAAGATCAAATTACCATTCTGCATTGTGGACATCGCCTCTTCCCACTTGGACACATCGCCAAGGCGAACCTTCAAAGTTTGATCAAAATGAGCGTCCTGTGCTGTGAGTCGAAAAGAAATTAATAAGTTTGTATGGATTTGTAATGATGAATGATATATATACATAATATAATATATATACTGCCGGCAGATGACTTAGGCCCAAGAGGGCCCAATGACATAAGAAGAACTATATGAAAGTGGCCTAAGTCATGTAGTCTTTACAACACGCAGTTCACCGAACACCCGGAAGACACCTGAAAAAAAAACGCGAGAGATAGGAACAAGATACCTTCAAGAGACTGGGAAAACATGTGTGCACCACCCCCTTTCCAAGATATCAAAACATGATGACTTAGGCCACCCCTTAATTTTTAATCCGCTAAAGCTGCCTAAGTCATCCAGCTCCACCCTCAGTGGCTAATATATATATATATGTGTGTTCTTAACCCCAAACTCTCAACAGGTGAAACCCTGATAACTTAGGACTGCACGTTCTCAGTCTTGGCCATTTCTCAGTCTCGGCCAATTAAATGGTTTTAAAAAAAATCTAGTTTTTATGTGAATGGAGTCTCTTGTTCCTAAGTCATTTGCCAGTAGTATTTTTATTAAATATATATATATATATATTATATATATTTTATTATATATATATATATTTGTTTCCCCAAACTCTCAACAGGTGAAACCCTGATAACTTAGGACTGCACGTTCTCAGTCTTGGCCATTTCTCAGTCTCGGCCAATTAAATGGTTAAAAAAAATCTAGTTTTTATGTCAATGGAGTCTCTTGTTCCTAAGTCATCTGCCAGTAGTATTTTTATTAAATATATATATATATATATATTTGTTTCCCCAAACTCTCAACAGGTGAAACCCTGATAACTTAGGACTGCACGTTCTCAGTCTTGGCCATTTCTCAGTCTCGGCCAATTAAATGGTTTAAAAAAAAATCTAGTTTTTATGTGAATGGAGTCTCTTGTTCCTAAGTCATCTGCCAGTAGTATTTTTATTAAATATATATGTATATATATATATTTGTTTCCCCAAACTCTCAACAGGTGAAACCCTGATAACTTAGGACTGCACGTTCTCAGTCTTGGCCATTTCTCAGTCTCGGCCAATTGAATGGTTAAAAAAAAAAATCTAGTTCTTATGTCATCGGAGTCTCTTGTTCCTAAGTCATCTGCCAGTAATATTTTTATTGAATATATATATATATTATATATATTAAATATATTATATATATATATTATATATATATTATATATATTTTTTATTATATATATATATTTGTTTCCCCAAACTCTCAACAGGTGAAACCCTGATAACTTAGGACTGCACGTTCTCAGTCTTGGCCATTTCTCAGTCTCGGCCAATTAAATGGTTAAAAAAATCTAGTTTTTATGTCAATGGAGTCTCTTGTTCCTAAGTCATTTGCCAGTAGTATTTTTATTAAATATATATATATATACATATTTGTTTCCCCAAACTCTCAACAGGTGAAACCCTGATAACTTAGGACTGCACGTTCTCAGTCTTGGCCATTTCTCAGTCTCGGCCAATTAAATGGTTAAAAAAAATCTAGTTTTTATGTCAATGGAGTCTCTTGTTCCTAAGTCATCTGCCAGTAGTATTTTTATTAAATATATATATATTTGTTTCCCCAAACTCTCAACAGGTGAAACCCTGATAACTTAGGACTGCACGTTCTCAGTCTTGGCCATTTCTCAGTCTCGGCCAATTCAATGGTTAAAAAAAAATCTAGTTTTTATGTCAATGGAGTCTCTTGTTCCTAAGTCATCTGCCAGTAGTATTTTTAATAAATATATATATATATATATTTGTCTCCCCAAACTCTCAACAGGTGAAACCCTGATAACTTAGGACTGCACGTTCTCAGTCTTGGCCATTTCTCAGTCTCGGCCAATTAAATGGTTAAAAAAAAACTAGTTTTTATGTCAATGGAGTCTCTTGTTCCTAAGTCATCTGCCAGTCGTATTTTTATTAAATATATGTATAGTATATATATATATATTTGTTTCCCCAAACTCTCAACAGGTGAAACCCTGATAACTTAGGACTGCACGTTCTCAGTCTTGGCCATTTCTCAGTCTCGGCCAATTAAATGGTTAAAAAAAAACTAGTTTTTATGTCAATGGAGTCTCTTGTTCCTAAGTCATCTGCCAGTAGTATTTTTATTAAATATATATTTATATATATATACATATTTGTTTCCCCAAACTCTCAACAGGTGAAACCCTGATAACTTAGGACTGCACGTTCTCAGTCTTTGCCATTTCTCAGTCTCGGCCAATTAAATGGTTAAAAAAAATCTAGCTTTTATGTCAATGGAGTCTCTTGTTCCTAAGTCATCTGCCAGTAGTATTTTTATTGAATATATATATATATATTTGTTTCCCCAAACTCTCAACAGGTGAAACCCTGATAACTTAGGACTGCACGTTCTCAGTCTTGGCCATTTCTCAGTCTCGGCCAATTAAATGGTTGAAACAAGTCTAGTTTTTATGTCAATGGAGTCTCTTGTTCCTAAGTCATCTGCCAGTCGTATTTTTATTAAATATATATATATACATACATATTTAAACTCTCAACAGGTGAAACCCTGATAACTTAGGACTGCACGTTCTCAGTCTTGGCCGTTTCTCAGTCTCGGCCAAATAATTGGTTAAAAAAAAATCTAGTTTTTATGTCAATGGAGTCTCTTGTTCCTAAGTCATCTGCCAGTAGTATTTTTATTGAATATATATATATATTATATATTTGTTTCCCCAAACTCTCAACAGGTGAAACCCTGATAACTTAGGACTGCACGTTCTCAGTCTTGGCCATTTCTCAGTCTCGGCCAATTAAATGGTTAAAAAAATCTAGTTTTTATGTCAATGGAGTCTCTTGTTCCTAAGTCATCTGCCAGTAGTATTTTTATTGAATATATATATATATATTTGTTTCCCCAAACTCTCAACAGGTGAAACCCTGATAACTTAGGACTGCACGTTCTCAGTCTTGGCCATTTCTCAGTCTCGGCCAATTAAATGGTTAAAAAAAATCTAGTTTTTATGTCATTGGAGTCTCTTGTTCCTAAGTCGTCTGCCAGTAGTATTTTTATCAAATATATATCTATATATATATTTATTTATTTGTTTCCCCAAACTCTCAACAGGTGAAACCCTGATAACTTAGGACTGCACGTTTTCAGTCTTGGCCATTTCTCAGTCTCGGCCAATTAAATGGTTAAAAAAAATCTAGTTTTTATGTCAATGGAGTCTCTTGTCCCTAAGTCATCTGCCAGTCGTATTTTTATTAAATATATATATATATATCCATTTGTTTCCCCAAACTCTCAACAGGTGAAACCCTGATAACTTAGGACTGCACGTTCTCAGTCTTGGCCATTTCTCAGTCTCGGCCAATTAAATGGTTAAAAAAAATCCAGTTTTTATGTCAATGGAGTCTCTTGTGCCTAAGTCATCTGCCAGTAGTATTTTTATTAAATATATATATTATATATATATATACGCGCAAACACCCCGATTCGCCCACACCCATTTCATGCTGCACATTTGGGGATAACAAACGTTACACTTTACATTCAATTGGGAAGATCAACAAGGGTATTTAGGCAATATGAATTTCCCACCCCGTCCAACTTTACATTCATTGAACATCTTCAATAAAGGTTTAATTCTCCCACCCCCGTTAAACTTCTACATTCGATGAAGATCTTCAATAAGGGTCTCCCACCCCCATTAAACTTCTACATTCATTGAAGATCTTCAATAAGGGTTTAATTCTCCCACCCCCGTTAAACTTCTACATTCATTGAAGATCTTCAATAAGGGTTTAATTCTCCCACCACCGTTAAACTTCTACATTCATTGAAGATCTTCAATAAGGGCTTGATGATGATGATGATGTTGTTGATGATGATGATGATGTGTAAGAGACTCGCACAGGTCCCTAAGCTGTGCGTGCCGATATACAACATGAAGTTAGCCATGATGAAAAAAAAAAACATTTTTACCACGTTTTCAGCACATACGAAGATAGCCGCCGACAAGCGCGGGCAAATCGAGGTGTTTGCCCGTATATATATATATATATCTATATATGTGTGTTTCCCCAAACTCTCAACAGGTGAAACCCTGATAACTTAGGACTGCACGTTCTCAGTCTTGGCCATTTCTCAGTCTCGGCCAACTAAATGGTTAAAAAAAAATCTAGTTTTTATGTCAATGGAGTCTCTTGTTCCTAAGTCATCTGCCGGTCGTATTTTTATTAAATAAATAAATTTACATTTATATTTATATATGTGTTTCCCCAAACTCTCAACAGGTGAAACCCTGATAACTTAGGACTGCACGTTCTCAGTCTTGGCCATTTCTCAGTCTCGGCCAATTAAATGGTTAAAAAAAATCTAGTTTTTATGTCAATGGAGTCTCTTGTTCCTAAGTCATCTGCCAGTCGGATTTTTATTAAATATATATATTATATATATATATATTTGTTTCCCCAAACTCTCAACAGGTGAAACCCTGAGAACTTAGGACTGCACGTTCTCAGTCTTGGCCGTTTCTCAGTCTCGGCCAAATAATTGGTTTAAAAAAAATCTAGTTTTTATGTCAATGGAGTCTCTTGTCCCTAAGTCATCTGCCAGTAGTATTTTTATTATATATATATTATATTTGTTTCCCCAAACTCTCAACAGGTGAAACCCTGATAACTTAGGACTGCACGTTCTCAGTCTTGGCCATTTCTCAGTCTCGGCCAATTAAATGGTTAAAAAAAATCTAGTTTTTATGTCATTGGAGTCTCTTGTTCCTAAGTCATCTGCCAGTAGTATTTTTATTAAATATATATATATATTATATATATATATTTGTTTCCCCAAACTCTCAACAGGTGAAACCCTGATAACTTAGGACTGCACGTTCTCAGTCTTGGCCATTTCTCAGTCTCGGCCAATTAAATGGTTAAAAAAAATCCAGTTTTTATGTCAATGGAGTCTCTTATTCCTAAGTCATCTGCCAGTAGTATTTTTATTAAATATAATATATATATATATTTGTTTCCCCAAACCCTCAACAGGTGAAACCCTGATAACTTAGGACTGCACGTTCTCAGTCTTGGCCATTTCTCAGTCTCGGCCAACTAAATGGTTAAAAAAAATCTAGTTTTTATGTCAATGGAGTCTCTTGTTCCTAAGTCGTCTGCCAGTAGTATTTTTATTAAATATATATATATATTTGTTTCCCCAAACTCTCAACAGGTGAAACCTCAACAGGTGAAACCCTGATAACTTAGGACTGCACGTTCTCAGTCTTGGCCATTTCTCAGTCTCGGCCAATTAAATGGTTAAAAAAAATCTAGTTTTTATGTCAATGTAGTCTCTTGTTCCTAAGTCATCTGCCAGTAGTATTTTTATTAAATATATATATATGTATGTATATATATGTATATATTTGTTTCCCCAAACTCTCAACAGGTGAAACCCTGATAACTTAGGACTGCACGTTCTCAGTCTTGGCCATTTCTCAGTCTCGGCCAATTAAATGGTTAAAAAAAGTCTAGTTTTTATGTCAATGGAGTCTCTTGTTCCTAAGTCATCTGCCAGTAGTATTTTTATTAAATATATATATATTATATATATATATGTTTCCCCAAACTCTCAACAGGTGAAACCCTGATAACTTAGGACTGCACGTTCTCAGTCTTGGCCATTTCTCAGTCTCGGCCAATTAAATGGTTTAAAAAAAAAGTTTTTATGTCAATGGAGTCTCTTGTTCCTAAGTCATCTGCCAGTCGTATTTTTATTAAACATATGTATATATATATATATTTGTTTCCCCAAACTCTCAACAGGTGAAACCCTGATAACTTAGGACTGCACGTTCTCAGTCTTGGCCATTTCTCAGTCTCGGCCAATTAAACAGTTAAAAAAATCTAGTTTTTATGTCAATGGAGTCTCTTGTTCCTAAGTCATCTGCCAGTAGTATTTTTATCAAATATATATATATACATTTGTTTCCCCAAACTCTCAACAGGTGAAACCCTGATAACTTAGGACTGCACGTTCTCAGTCTTGGCCATTTCTTAGTCTCGGCCAATTAAATGGTTTAAAAAAATCTAGTTTTTATGTCAATGGAGTCTCTTGTTCCTAAGTCATCTGCCAGTAGTATTTTTATTCAATAAATATATATATTATATATATATACTATATATATATTATATATATATTATATATATATTATATATATATATTATATATATATATTTGTTTCTCCAAACTCTCAACAGGTGAAACCCTGATATCTTAGGACTGCACGTTCTCAGTCTTGGCCATTTCTCAGTCTCAGCCAATTAAATGGTTAAAAACACTCTAGTTTTTATGTCAATGGAGTCTCTTGTTCCTAAGTCATCTGCCAGTAGTATTTTTATTAAATATATATATATATGTATATGTATATATATATATATATTTGTTTCCCCAAACTCTCAACAGGTGAAACCCTGATAACTTAGGACTGCACGTTCTCAGTCTTGGCCATTTCTCAGTCTCGGCCAATTAAATGGTTTTAAAAAAAATTAGTTTTTATGTCAATGGAGTCTCTTGTTCCTAAGTCATCTGCCAGTAGTATTTGTATTAAATAAATATAAAATATATATATATAAATATTTGTTTCCCCAAACTCTCAACAGGTGAAACCCTGATAACTTAGGACTGCACGTTCTCAGTCTTGGCCATTTCTCAGTCTCGGCCAATTAAATGGTTAAGAAAAATCTAGTTTTTATGTCAATGGAGTCTCTTGTTCCTAAGTCATCTGCCAGTAGTATTTTTATTCAATATATATATATATATAAATATTTATTTATTTGTTTCCCCAAACTCTCAACAGGTGAAACCCTGATAACTTAGGACTGCACGTTCTCAGTCTTGGCCATTTCTCAGTCTCGGCCAATTAAATGGTTTAAAAAAATCTAGTTTTTATATCAATGGAGTCTCTTGTTCCTAAGTCATCTGCCAGTCGTATTTTTATTAAATATATGTATGTATATATATATTGTTTCCCCAAACTCTCAACAGGTGAAACCCTGATAACTTAGGACTGCACGTTCTCAGTCTTGGCCATTTCTCAGTCTCGGCCAATTAAATGGTTAAAAAAAACTAGTTTTTATGTCAATGGAGTCTCTTGTTCCTAAGTCATCTGCCAGTAGTATTTTTATTAAATATATATATATATATTTTGTTTCCCCAAACTCTCAACAGGTGAAACCCTGATAACTTAGGACTGCACGTTCTCAGTCTTGGCCATTTCTCAGTCTCGGCCAATTAAATGGTTAAAAAAAATCTAGTTTTTATGTCAATGGAGTCTCTTGTTCCTAAGTCATCTGCCAGTAGTATTTTTATTAAATATATATATATATACCCCAAACTCTCAACAGGTGAAACCCTGATAACTTAGGACTGCACGTTCTCAGTCTTGGCCATTTCTCAGTCTCGGCCAATTAAATGGTTAAAAAAAATCTAGTTTTTATGTCAATGGAGTCTCTTGTTCCTAAGTCATCTGCCAGTAGTATTTTTATTAAATATATATATATATATATATATATATTTGTTTCCCCAAACTCTCAACAGGTGAAACCCTGATAACTTAGGACTGCACGTTCTCAGTCTTGGCCATTTCTCAGTCTCGGCCAATTAAATGGTTAAAAAAAATCTAGTTTTTATGTCAATGGAGTCTCTTGTTCCTAAGTCATCTGCCAGTAGTATTTTTATTAAATATATATATATATATATATTGTATTATTTGTTTCCCCAAACTCTCAACAGGTGAAACCCTGATAACTTAGGACTGCACGTTCTCAGTCTTGGCCATTTCTCAGTCTCGGCCAATTAAATGGTTAAAAAAAATCTAGTTTTTATGTCAATGGAGTCTCTTGTTCCTAAGTCATCTGCCAGTCGTATTTTTATTAAATATATATATATATATATATATTTGTTTCCCCAAACTCTCAACAGGTGAAACCCTGATAACTTAGGACTGCACGTTCTCAGTCTTGGCCATTTCTCAGTCTCGGCCAATTAAATGGTTAAAAAAAATCTAGTTTTTATGTCAATGGAGTCTCTTGTTCCTAAGTCATCTGCCAGTAGTATTTTTATTAAATATATATATATATATATATTTGTTTCCCCAAACTCTCAACAGGTGAAACCCTGATAACTTAGGACTGCACGTTCTCAGTCTTGGCCATTTCTCAGTCTCGGCCAATTAAATGGTTAAAAAAAATCTAGTTTTTATGTCAATGGAGTCTCTTGTTCCTAAGTCATCTGCCAGTCGTATTTTTATTAAATGTATATATATATATATATTTGTTTCCCCAAACTCTCAACAGGTGAAACCCTGATAACTTAGGACTGCACGTTCTCAGTCTTGGCCATTTCTCAGTCTCGGCCAATTAAATGGTTAAAAAACTCTAGTTTTTATGTCAATGGAGTCTCTTGTTCCTAAGTCATCTGCCAGTCGTATTTTTATTTAATATATGTATATATATATATATTTGTTTCCCCAAACTCTCAACAGGTGAAACCCTGATAACTTAGGACTGCACGTTCTCAGTCTTGGCCATTTCTCAGTCTCGGCCAATTAAATGGTTAAAAAAATCTAGTTTTTATGTCAATGGAGTCTCTTGTTCCTAAGTCATCTGCCAGTAGTATTTTTATTAAATATATATATATATATATATATATATTTGTTTCCCCAAACTCTCAACAGGTGAAACCCTGATAACTTAGGACTGCACGTTCTCAGTCTTGGCCATTTCTCAGTCTCGGCCAATTAAATGGTTTAAAAAAAACTAGTTTTTATGTCAATGGAGTCTCTTGTTCCTAAGTCATCTGCCAGTAGTATTTTTATCTGAGCCGGGAACGGCAGGCTGGAGGACTTCGACCCAACAACGGGGTAACACAACGGGGAAGGAACCACAACGGGCCAGAACAAGAACAAACAACGGGAGGGAAACAACGGGAAAATGAGAAATGTCACATTTATATTTTTTTGTTTGAAAGAATAAAAATATTCATTCCATTATGTTTTTTATCTGAAAAATATTCTCACATTCTGGTTTATTTTACAACATTTTCTAAATTTGTTTCAATTGCAAAAGTGTGTAATAATGCTTTAAAACAATCGAGTGAAAAAAAAAAAACACCAAATAAACATGCCAGCGTGTCCTGCAGTGCAGGAGCCAATCAGCCAATCACTTCTTTCAAGCAAAATAGCTGCAGTTATCATGACTTAGGAACTGCCTACTATTTCCTAATGCCTTATATCCTTGCAAAACTTGTTTAAAAATAACATGTTTTCTATGGTTTGTTGTGATGACATAGGAGTAAGGGACCCAGACCACCAAGGGTATGTTTGCTCATGACATAGGAGTATGATTTTCGAGGGTATGTCCGCATCTGACTAAGTCATTTGCGGGTAGTATATATATATATATATATTATCGATTAATATATTGATTGATTGTGTGTATCGAATTGATGTTTTCACCCAGCCTCCACCGGCAACTGCCTGGACAACTCCTCCAACAGCTCTGCGTTGCTGCCTCATCAATGCAGTTCAAGAATTGAAGTGTTTGTATATTTGTATGTGTGTTTGTATGATTTTGGAACACAATTGGGCCACAATTGATTCTGTTCATTGATTGAATCATACCATAAGTATCCATAATTTCATAACTTCTCATTGTGAATCATTGGTATTCCATGGTATTCCGTTCTTCCATGATTTTCAATGTGGATTCAGGGTGGCAATGCTCAGCAGCCTTGAGATTGATTGCGGCCCATCAGCACCAATGACTTCGCCCTGAGGTGTTGATGTCTCTGACTTCATGATAGGTTGAAATGGTTGAAGGTTTGGCAATGTTTGGCAAATTTAATTGGGAAAAGCAAGGACAGTTGTTTGCATTAGAAAAGATTAATTATTAATTGTTGTTTAAGTTGTTGACCAAACTCGTGCTGCATCAAAAAACTTGCCTTGCGCAAAAAAAAAAACTAATTGCATGTGCAGGGATGTGTCTGCGCTGAAGCTTGCAGAACCCAACTTGCCATATTCACAACTTTTCACAACCAAATCTCTTTGATCAAGAGCTTGGATAGAATCGGCTGGCAATTTATCCTTCACTCAAGACTTTCCGTGTACCAGCAGACTGGGAACATGGCACCATGGCACCTGCCCGTATCTGCCAGCCATTTGGCCACTCGAAGTCCCAAGCCACGCAAGCCACCGGTGACCAAGGCTCGCTCGTACCTGCGCTGATCCTACTGGGTCTTGCATTTGTCTTATATTGACTTCTCATTTTCTCTTGCCCTTCCAATCTTTCCACACCTCAAGATGTGCTTTAAAAATCGTTCAAAGTTCTGGAGTCATCACCCACTTTGGGGCACATCGCAAAGCTCCCCACGGCTGCAGGAGACGGCACGGAGCGCAGTCGTGGAGTGAAGACACCTGACGCATGGCCGACACCAACGACTCATTCAAGTGGACTTCTTTCTATTTTCTATTGATGCCGTGATGCCACAATGAAAATCTATGAAAATCTGGTGGAAAGCTAAAACCCTTTGCTCTCTTCGCTCTGTTCACTTCTTGGATGAAACGACTTTCCAAAACGGTCGAAAGATGTCGAAAGACGTCGAAAGATCCGAGCTGTTTGCATCGCCTTGGGTCGTGAGGATAAACTCTCCTGGCGCAGCTGGAAACCTTGGAGGCGTCTACCCGGCTACCCGGATCTACCCGGATCTATCCGGCACCTGTGTGGCTTCGTGTGGCTTCAGAATCCTGTTACACCATGTTACACCGATGAATTCCACAATGTTCTAAAATCCTCTGAAAATGTGCGCAATTCTACGCATTCTGTTGTCCAATATGATCCAATATCTAACTCTTTGCTGCCAAGGTGCAAGACTGGTGCCTCACCCTCTCGACAGAGTAGCCGCAAGCGAAGCTCGGGGTGTTCCTTGGAAGGGCTCCAACCCATTCTGTTGCCACGGCAGAAAGCACACAGCATCACACAGCATCGAAATAGCATGAAATAGCCTTGGTTATCACTGAGTTATCACTGGTTGAAGAAAAGGCTCCTTCATAGCACTCCGAAGGAAGCCCAGCAGTCCAGCGTACCTGGAGAGAGAGCTGAGGCTTAAGCATCTCCTAACACGCTCCACAATCGCAACAATGTTCTGTTCGCAACTGGCCACCATTCCAAGCCTCAACGTGTTTTGAAGGATGAAAGCCACCTCGAATGTGCTCTTGGACTGCGTCAGCCTCAAGAGATTTCGCACAGCATGGTGCTTTTTGCATTTGGAACAAAAGCATTCAGCTGTACCATTCGGCGCGCGGCAAACCTACTTCCCACAGACCCAGTTGTGAAATGTTGTGAACTGCAAATCTGCCGAGCTTCTTCTTGATGAGAGTCATGAAGTTCAATAGCAAGACTTCCTGTGAAGTATCATTCACATCCGGCTCCTCAGATCAGGAACGTTCTCCATCACTGTACACATAGCAGAGATGGATAGAGATGGCATGTTTTCAAGCACAGCTCAACTCAAGACATCTCAAGACATTTCTGAAATCCGTGTGGGCTTGTTTCCTGACTCATCCTCGACAGTGTACAAGAAGTATCAAGAAATCAAACAAATGTCAGTGGGGCATAACGGCATGACTTTCAAACCCAAGGAGCCAAAGTGCTGGTTCCCAAGAATATCAGAAATCCGCCTCAAGGGTTGCAGACATGACAATGTGAACAAAATCGGACACACACATAGAAAATGACAGAAACATTTGTAACATTTTGCTACACATTGCTTTCAAACTGCTGATTTGAAACATGGTGAAACATGGCTTTATGTTCTCCCCTGGCCTGCGGCTTTGGCTGCAGGCACTGCACGTTGCCACGTGGTGAGGACTGTGGTTTTGGGCATACCCTGACAACGACCGATACGACAAGCGCCAGTGACAGATGTGACAGGGCTCAGTGCCTCAAACTCAAGCCGAATACTGTCAGTAACTTTCAGTCTGAATACGACACCAATTTTCGAATCTGCTCACCTCTGGCATAGAAGGCTCCTCGCCATCCAACAACACAGCTGCAAGTTTCCTTGGTGAACAAAGCCAGGTGAACTTTGAGCATCTCAAGGCATGTGCTCAACCACACCTATCGATTTGTTCAAATTGTTCATTATGTGTGTGTGTGTGAATACCCACCGTCATTTGTACGATCGTCTGGGATTTTTATAATTGACGAGCTGCGGCTTCAATTCGCTCAGTCGCACAGCTTCCCTGGTGGCTTCATAGAACCAGTCCTCGCTGAGTTGACAAATGCAAGACCCCAACATGCAAACCTTTGTTAAATAACTAACTGCACAAACCACACATTGTGCCTCATTGTGCATGCGATCTTGATGGATTTGGCCAAACATAGAGTCACTGCTGAGTCAGTTCTCAATTCGAAGTACAGCAGCCAGCAGTTTGATGAGCTGCCCCAAGATGCACTCCTCCAGGCTCTTTCTTGCCTCCATTTTCACTGGCGTTTGAGCGACCGCTTGCACTTGGCGATTCCCGTGCTTGGTCTGCTTGTTGAAAGATGACAGGAGGACCTGCCACCAAGAACGAGGTCTGCTCATGACAAAGTAAAGTGACAAAGCAACAGCTGCGACTGCGACAGCTGTGCAAGTGTCCACCTCGACGGGTTTCCTGTTCCAGCTAACCTTCTCTGGGCTCGCGTGGCCATTCCTCAGAACACATCTCAGGACGTCTCAGGACATCCCAAGCCATCTGCAAGTCTGGGACCCTTCCGGTACTATCGGCAATGGCAACAAGCCACACGTGTCCACCACTGTCAAGCGGCTGCGCAGCAGCTTTGAGCACCACATGTGCATTGGTGCCACCAACGCCAAAGGAACTCACAGAGGCCAAAGAGCCTCAGCTCTGTTGTGCAATCTTTGTCTGCTCATGAAACGGAGCTACCCAACTGCACCGTTGGCTACACACACCTAACCTGAAAAAGGCTATGGTGGCGCACCTTGCCAGCTCTCCGAGAGGGTTGCTAGAGTCAAAGGCGTCCTCCACAGTCAGACCGAAATATTCCAAAAGGTGGCGAACTTGTCAAATCAACAATGGACACAGCACAAGTTTGGACTGGTCCTGTTCCAGTCAACTTCTTTGCTGGGGTTCACCGCATGCAGAGATGGGACCATTGACTGGTGCTTCAGCATGAGAACAGCCCTGAAAAAACGCACATCTCTCACATCTGATCAAATCACATCAGACACTACAAAATATGAAAAGGATTCAAAAGGCATGTGCTTTGCTATCTTCCCCCAATCGTCCCAATCCATGCATCGATCTAAGCCGCGCGCTTCAGTAGCCCGGGCACTCCTGAAAGACTTCGAAACTGATTTTACTGGCTGCAATGGAGATGCATCTTCTCATTTCTAAAATCACACCAACCAAAAAGGTCGGAAAAAAAATGCTGGATATGATTCTTCGATTCTTCTCCTGCAGCAGTGTTCAAGTGGCCCAAATTTCCCTTCACAGAGCCAAGCACAATCCGGCCCTCCTGACAGGTCTGAAATCACAGCAGGATCCAGATGGATCCAGCTTCTCGGAAGCAGCAATATGCCATATATGCAGCAATGACACGAAGCACATCGAAGCACCAAGAATCTCCTGACCCAAGACCTCCGTCAATGCTGCAATTTCGAGGGGATCCCCCAACTTCGTCCCGGTGCCGTGGCCCTCCACATAGTCCAGCTGGGAGCCTCGGCTACGACGGCTACGACGGCTACGATCTCAGCTTTTGTAACGCAGAGTGGACATCAGCGACTTTCCCTACACTCCCTCCCTCCTTTCCTTCAAATGCCACACATTACATAATTGTGTTTGATATACAGTCATATGATATAATTATACAATCACAGAATCATATATCATATACTATGTTCTTGATATTTGTATATAGTATTGATATGTATTGATATTACTGCTGTATGCATGCACATGTGTCCCTGCCACTCTTGATTCCCACACGTCGAGTGGCTGAGAATTCCAGCATCCAAATGCGCCTGTCGAAGAACTTCCACTTGACCCTCATAAGAGGGCCTTGGTGAACAGAGAAGCTGCCAGCTGAGAGCCGAACCTGTAAAGACCGAGATGACCAAGCAATCGAAAACCGAAGCGAACTGAACAGAGGTGTTTTCATGTCTTGTGCGATCTTAGTGATTGCCTGGAACCTTACAATGATTCACAAGAGCCGCTAAAGTCTGTCAGGTTGCGCAGAGAAGGTGGATTTCCTAGCGCCATCATTGTTGGTAGCGGAACCTGAGGCTAAAGCAGTGCAAATGCGACGTCACCACAACGCACAAGCTTAAACCGGCTGAATCAAAGCAAAACGCTGTGCAGAAGAGTGAGATTTGATCAAACGGGTTTCTGACCCAAGACGTGCGCATGGGCAACATTCCCGTGACTCACAGCCGTAGACAAGCGGGACAAGATCACCTACAGATCAGCACATGTGGCTGTTCAAGAGGCTCAAATCAAGAGGCTCGAAGGGAAAACTCGTTCCTTTCCTGTATGATCTGTATGTCTGACACTTGAAACTGTGTACCACTGTAGATCCACGTCTCCGAAATGATGTCAACACTCAAAATTGTTCGAATTTATGACATCGCTTGCATCGTGATGCAAGTTTCATCCAAGTCGCGACTCCACCGCCATCCGAGTTAGTCGTACCATTGGCACCCTGGCAGAGATCAGAATCAAAAATGATCCACTCTTCCGAAGCAAACTGGAGCTGGCCTCTGCATAAGGTCTGCAAACCTGGCGCAACTTGACCACTACACTCAAGAACTCAAGAACTCACTTCGATTTATCATGACTGTTTGGTGCTTGTTTTTTGGTCATCTTGCTTTGGAAGCCGTTGTTTTTTTTTCCAAAGCCAAGCAACCCCGTCCGGTGACCAAATCAGACCGTCCACAGCAGCAATGGGTGCATTGGGTGAAAAGGATGCACCGCCACATAGGGCATAGTCCTCGGATCTGAATCTCTGCACTCTCCAAGCAAACACAAGCAGTACATTTCGACATTTCCACGCGCATGCTTATCATATCTTATCATCTATTAAATCTATTGGGATGAGATCTGGAATATTCTGGAATATCTATATCATTCTATATCTAAACAACAAAATTCTTACTGCTGAAGAATTTCAGTGTCTTGACCAGCAAAAATAGCAAAAGTGGTTCGCTGTAGAAGTTTTGATTCAACAAATGGTTCCAGAGCTAAGCATCGCAATAGCCAGACTTCAGAAGCTGCACCTGGGCAAAGGATGGGAAAGGATGGGAAAGTTGCTCAGGTTACGAAGTTCAAACGACTCGATTCGAGTACCCAATGCCCATGCTGCCCATATCTGCCCATAGAGCCCTTCACCGACCGCGAGATGGCCACTAGTGCGGAACTGCATGCTGTCTGCACCACCTGTCCCATCAAAGGAACACCATGGAACACCAAAATATGCTAACGCAACTCGACTAACGTCGACCTTATGCACAAACAACACCAGCCTTTGCCAATCTGAAGTCTAAGGAAACATCACACTCGCCTCCGCTGTTCCGTGCAGATCCAGACGATAGGCAATTGTGGAAGCCAGATAGTCCTTGTCTGTGCCAACCTGCAAGGGCAGAGTCGATCCCTTTGATTCCCTTTCCCTGACGTTCGCCATCTGATGTCACCATCTGTGAACATTCATCACACGTCACCAATTTGGCCAATGCTGTAGCAAAAGTCTGCCATAGTCTGCCTCTAGATTGAAGTACTCATCCGGCCGTTTGGTCCGTGATTCTTCAAGATCAACACCAAGCTCGATCGGCCAGTGATTCAAGGAGCCTGCCGGACATCAATTGTATGAACATCTGTGAGCCTTGCAACACCATGGGCATACGGCATACATATTGGGCAAGAGGGGCACCCAATGGCCACCCAAATATCTTGAAGGCCTCCGCACACGATCACGGCCACATTCCTTTCAGGAAGTTCCAGGCCTGAAACACAGTTTCAAAACTTCAAAAGCATGCAAAAGCTGTGATTGCAAACGGTGCTTATAGCTGATGCGCTTGTAGCTGATGGACTCTACCTTTTTAACAACCACCATCACTCCATGCATAACCGTTACAGTGACCGTTACAGCCTTCCCGTATTCACAATTCATTGTCATTCCTAACCATATACAACCATTCAATCCATTCAATCCGTCGTATCTTACCCACAACGGCCATCACTTCCGGACACCACCAAGCCTCGCAGTTGGCCGTCTGGAAGGCGTGCAGAGAACCCAGCACCGTGGAAGGCCTCGTAGGAGACTTCCAAGAGCGTCCGCTGCGCAGTGTCCATCATCGCCTTGGCACAGAAACTCGGAAAAATATGTGGGAATGTGATTGATGTGATTGATGTGATTGTGTGTTTAATTTATATAATGTCTAACGATGTCTAACGGTCCTTACATTTTGGATTCAGTTCACTTGAATCCACTTGGTTGTTGAATGTCATCAACTCCCCACCCTGCCGGTTACCGATTTCACTCTGATATTGCCGCTGCTCAGTGGCCGCTGCTTGCTCGGAGCACTTCCAGAAGTGACAGTCGAAGCCATGGTCGGGAACCACGCCTCCCAGTCAAAAGCGACGTTTGCATAACAACCACCACGTATCAAATATATTCAAATATCAGTACATGGCACAACCAGCTTCAATCCTTTCACACAGATGTTCTCTGGAAGGTCAACCAAAAGAATCCAAAAGACATATTTGTATGCCAAGCATTGCCAAGCTGCGAATTTGGATGAAAGCTAAGTCTGGGTTGGGTTGTAAAGGCAACTTGTTTCAAGTGAAACGCGGCGAGAACAAAAAAGCCGCTGTCCATTGTCAAAGTCATATCTTCCGCACCTTTTCGCGGAATTTGTCCCGGCATGACTGGCAACTGGGTTGTCATAAGATGCCCTGCCTGAGCAAATTTCAATACGAAAATGACGTCTGACTCGTCTGACTCGTGTCACTTGTCGTCTGACTCGTCCCTACTGAGGAGCCCAGAAGTCCCCTGCCTTTAACGAATCCCAGAAGTGCTCAGCAGAATCGGCGTTCGGCAGTCGACAGGCCATGCCCACCACTGCCAAAGGGCCTTGGACACACCAGTGGAAAGGATAGAGGACATAGAGGAGCAAGCAGTGACACCACAGTAACAATGGCTATACATCTCACTCATTCTCACTCAATGGGTTGCAAAGGCCCAAAGCATCCCGAAGTTTGGACCAAGGGGCCATTTGAAGCTTGCTGAACTCGCGGAAGGCTCACCGTGTGCATCATGCTTTTGTCCAGCTGCACATCCTCTCTCAGGCGGTCACTTGGGGTCACAGGCCCAGGTTCCCAAGGGCTCCCGCCTTCGACAGGAACTTGGCCAAGTCAGCAATAGTTGGGTACTTGAAGAGTTCCACTGGCGAAATGCCCAGCAACTTTGCGATCCTGACACACCAACATCAGCACAATCAACACGTCGGCACCATGCCAACGTCGCAGTTGAAGTTTCCCGAGATCTTGCCAAAAATCGCGGAACATGTACCTTTACCCAACCGAAAGTCCTCATGGCTGACAAGGAATGGCCTCCAGCCTGGCCAACGATACAATGATACAATGCTGACTCCAAGCTTCACAAGAAATTGGACACTCCGCCCGCCTCCAAGAAGGGTGTATCTCTGGACACCTGTCGTCCCAACACCTTGCCAGGTGCAGCTAGGCTTTCAAGAAACGACGCAACTTTAAGAAAAATCAAAGTCAGTTGGCATGACTTTGTCGAATGAGTTCAGGTTCCAACGGTTCCACACATGGCAAACCCAGGCCTCTTTGTAGGCAGCAGCCACACGTCGCTCTTCTTCAGTGTCGTACTCCATCACCTCGCATCGAGAAGGATGGGCCAATATAGGCCAATTCCAAGTCAAAACGGAGTCAGTGCCTCGTCAGTGTTCTCCAAGTCAGACAAGATCTGCCTTGGTACCACAAACTTGACATATCAATACAATATCATGGAAAATTCATGGAATATCCAAATTGTCCAAATATCCAATCCTCAAACCGGGGAAAGGGCCTGCCAGAGCCTTCTGACATCGAAAACCCTCCAGATCATCATTTGCGAAGGCGTTGGCAAGTTGGAGAGTTGCTGTGACAGTCCAGGCTCAGAGGATTTACAAGATCAAAAATACCTAAAAATAGAACTGGACTGCTAAGAGGTTTGAGAATGTTTGAGAATTTTGAGATGGTTTGAGGGCAAAAAGTGTTCGAAGAAACTTGCCATCAGCCTTCCGACTTCTGGTCCACTTGCGTTCCAAGGTGCTCGATGGCTCTGATGTCTTTCTTTCCAGACTTGGTGATTGGCAGTCCATCCACCTCAGCCGCCAGCCATGCAAGGCATCAAAATTGCAAACGACTTCGTTGACTTCGTCGATCCAAAATCTTGCGCTCCAGGGCACCGGAACCCACACCTGAATCACAAATGCACATCAGGCTGTGAGGGAATCACAAAGCCGCATGACATCTGAGAATAAGATTAAGATACATGTTTAAAAAAGGACATAGTAGACAAGCAAAATGTCTTCCGAGTAGCAATCAAATTGGAGTGCTCATAGTTTTCCTGCCCACTGTCTGATTGTCGCAAGCCAGTTTGTGCCACTACTCGATTCTGTGCACAAAGTTTGAAGACAAAATATTGACTGAGATTATCTAGATTAGTCCAAGCTCACTCCAGATCCATTGCATTCAAAGCAATCCAATGAATGTCCTTCGCAAAAGTCTTCACCCTTTCAATGTCTGTAGTGCACGTCACAGCATACAAACTCTCTTTGAACTTTCTCACGCAGACATCCTTGGTACAAGTCAACTAAACAAGACTAGATAAGTAAGCTGTTGGAACAGCTGCAGCTGCAATCTTGACACTTCTGACAACACCCAAAAAGCCGTGCTTGAACACCGTAGGTCCTACAAACCAGCTGAGAAGCCTTCACGACAGTCTCTTTCATCAACAACGACTCGAGTCCATCCGTGTCTACTCGAAATCCACGGACCTTCACAACCTCCACAGCTCCAAATAAACACATCGATGGAATTTGATAAGTCATGAGTCGGTCATGAGTAATGACATGTAATGACTCCATCTGCATTTTTCCGCGTTTGTCCAAGTGCAGCGCCTTGTCTACTCTGCCCATGATAAAAATATGCCCGTCTTTAATTTGAGCTCTATCACCTCGGTCAACGACTTCACTCAGTTGGCATCATGAGACAATGGCCTGGACGAAACATGACGAAACCTGGAACCAGGAGACCAAGTTGGAGGGCGAGACAAGGCGCCTGTTCTGTAAGTGTTGGTGAAGCCGTCCTCATTTCTTCTAAATGCAGACGACCTCAGCAAGTAGGACCAGGGATGTCTCAGGATTTTGCATTGAGCAGTGTGGCAAAGCATCGAAGGTGTTCCTGGCTGAAGGTTCTGGATGCTTTGCTGCTTTGCAAATTCTGCTTTTTTCTTTGCCCCTTCCAGAGGAGCTGAGTTAGAGGCACTGTTGGCGGCAAATAGCCATCGGCAACATTCCAGCCAGAAATCACCAACTCCTCATTGATAACGAGTTCTTGTCTGCAACATGCAGTATCTTTTGATGGCTGTTGGCAAATTGTTGGCAAATCGGTTTCATTTGAGAAAACGGTGTCACTAGAGTCACTAGAGTCACTAGAGTCACCAGAGGGCAAGCCTTTGGGAAGCCTTTGGGAACATTCAATTCTTCGAAGCTCCTCATTCTCGATGGTCATCTGATTGTTCCAGCAAACGATATTGGCGCTCAGTGGCGCAAAGGGCATGTCCATGCCTGAGAGCAAGCACACTAAGCACACGTGAACGAAATAGCAATTGCATGCAATTGCACTGTCATATCTGTCATGGTCATTTGTTTCAAAATGTTTCAAACGCAGCCGAAGAGCATGCAATTTCCTCGGTCATTGGAAGGAATGCCATATCTGCTGCCTCAGAGATCTGGGCGCCTGAGGCGCCTGAACTCCACACGTAATGACCGAGTTCAACCTGAATCTTCATAAATTTCATAAGGAAACCCTGCATCCATCTGCATCCACTGCTGCCAAAAATCGGTCTCGGTAGTCGCGTAATTAACAACCAATCTAACCTGAGCCGCGTGGTTCAGAGAGCCGATTACACAAATTCCTGTGTCAACCTGTAATTCACCACTTCAGGTTCTCAGCCTTGTAAGCCTTCAAAGTTTCCTGGTTACCCGTGCTTGTGTAATTTCACCCAAGCAACATGAGGCCACTTTTTCAGCCAGCTTCGACATGTTGACAAAGGCAAAGCTTCGCCACCAACGAAGACTTCCTCCGAAAGCGCTTGATATCAACGAATGGCAGGTATTGTCAGGTATTGTCAGCTTCTGCTGACTTACTCTTTTTATGCACGTTGCTAAACTCAGTAATGCGTGAGACGAGAAGACTGTTCAATCCTGGTGATGTGATCCAGTATGATCAAGTTCACAGGATAGTGGACACGGATAAAGTTTAATCATCATGTATGATCACTTATATACAGCTAACACAGGATGGAGGCATGATAGGGAATTTCACAACAGTTCACCTTTAAAAAAATAACAAAGTGACACAACATGACATAAAGTGACTATAAATTTCACCTGGACATGAGAATTCTCAGCATTTTTTTCGACCCGTCAACGTCCACTGTCGACAGAGTCGACAGCTCCTGCAGGTCGTTGGGCAACGTGTCCTCCACGGAGAGCAGCGCCGAGAGTTGTCCAGGCGTCAGGCAATTGCAGCGAGTCACCCTGTGAACAGCGCCAGTGCCGGGCTTGGTACAGCCGGGCACGCCCCGGCACCCCAGGACAGGATTACACCACCAGACAGGAAATAACAAGAAGGGAAACAGTCGGAAACAGTGGAACAAGAGAAGCAGAAACACTTCACCAAATACTGTTTGAGACAAAAGATGCACAAAAGCCACAAGTAAAAATGACATTGCACGATGCGTGCAAGTTCTGCATAGACTGCAGTTCAGTGATGCCCCACCTGTGTCTTCTGAAATATTGCATGAGCTGACTGATGTCTTGACTTTGCCAGTTGGGCCACACAACACATGTGCTGCCGGTTGTCAAAGGGATTTGCCAATACCAAATCCTTGGTCGGATGCGTGCATTTTTGCGTGCTTTCCTGCAAGTGGTGGCAACAAAATCAGGGCATGCTGAGCGCCCCACCAAAACAAATTGTAAGCATCTCCTTAGACACTCAAACTCCGCATCATTCTTGATTTCCAGGTATTAAAACAATGAGCAGAATCTGCAAACCCTCCTAAAATCATCTAAAATCTCCAAGACAAAGTGTGCAGCTAAAGGTCTTGCCCCTTGCGGTGGAAAATGGAACAGGTGCCATCTGGCCCAATGTGCAATGCCTCAGCAATGACTCAGCTCACTTCAGCACAACGGCATTGGAAGAATTGCCAGGCCCAGCAGGTGAATAAATTATAACTGCATACCTGGCATACCATGAACATAAGTAGTTTCTGTAATATCGCATATCGTAATATAATTTATATATCAATATTATATATATATATATCATATTCATTTATATTCATTTATATTCATTTATATTCATTTATATTCATTTATAGGCATTAATATTCCACATATTCCATGAAATTACAATGATATGCACTATTATGCACTACTGTACATCAATGATCAGAAATGACTGGTACAGCAGTGTATCCACTTCCACAAGGAGCGTCGGTGATCAGCGCCCGCTCAAAGTTTCTCGCAGACAAGCGGCGCCATTGGACGGTGGCCACAGACTTGGGGTTGCCAGTGGAGCCAGACGTATATTCAATGAATGCCACATCGTTCAAATCACCTCACAGTGGCAGAGGGACAGCAACACAGAGGTTGCATTCCCAAAAAATGGAATGGCCACTGACTCCTTCCCTCTGCACCCACTCATCCATGGAATTTGCTCATCCGTCAGGCAGAAAGGATTACGGCTCAATGCAGTCAAAGCCACCATCCATGTGCAAGCTGCTGAGTGGTTGCGACCAATCCAGCTGCATCCTTACATGATGTCATGCAGTCCATGTTCTTGAAATCGATTCATTTTTGACAAACACCTCAGGATACCGTTCTCAAAATAGGTGTGCCATACTGGCACAGGGTCGCCTCTACCACCCGCATCCGCAACCGTACCAACAGACAGAGAGAGGGAGAAAGAAAGTTTCGCACGAGCAGACGAGCATCTCATCCAAGTTGAAAACGCGCAAGTCCTGAAAGACCAAAGGCTTTGACATCGAAAGTTTCGCGGCTTCCACAGAAAAGCAAAGCCAAAAGCCACAAAAATCAGCAAATATCTGAGACTCGTTGAGAAGCAAGCATCTTAATCATCTCAATCATCTTAATCATGACACTTTCGCTGTTGTAGCTGCTAGTAACTGCTAGTAACTGCTAGTAACTGCTAGTAGCTGTTGTACGGTATATTCAATGTAGTTCTATGGAAAAGTAGAACAGAATGGAACAGATCAGGTCCAACGAGTCCTCCGTGACGGCCAAGTCCTGACCTCAGAAGCTCAGCACAAACCACGGCAAACTTCGTTTCTCATCGACCTTTGGTCGTGGTTCGTTTTTGTCCGATTGAAATCTATACCGGCTATACCCCGCAGACCCCTGCATACCCCTAGCCTATCTGTCTCAGCAGGAATGCATGATGAATTCACATGATATATCATATGCTGTAATCATGCTGTAATCAATGCTCTTGAAAGCTCAGCTCCAGCCCAGTTGCCATGCTTGGTGACAATGGCCTGGCTGGGACATGTTTGAAGACGATATCGTTGGCTCGAAGCACCCCGGTCCTTGAGTCGCTATAAGACCAAACAGAAAGACTTCGATTGAAAAAAAGGATGATCATCACCTGAAATGACAGATCAAAGCTTGCGATTTCATGAACTACATGACGCATCATGATGCATGACGCATCATGATGCATGATTCGCAATGACCTTTGCTTGACTTGCTCCATTTTCCGAGGCTACTGTAGGCTATCCAAAGCTATCCAAGTCTATCCAAGGCACCAACAGATGCACGGTGAAGCGCCCAGACATCAAAGCGAGGAAACAAATTGCGGAATAATCCGATGCGTCAATTCGCACAGCAATAGGTCCTGGACAGCAAGAAATAGCCAGGAATGGCTTGACTCGCTACCATTTTGGTACCGATTTTGGGACACACTCAAGTGAAGCAATGATCAAACAGCAAGGCATATGACATTATGATGATTCCATATGCCATCGAATCAAACATACCTTCTTCCACCTTTCTTTCAAGCTGGTGAAAGTGAGGCAGGATTGCATCAGGGCATTCATCCACCGAAAAAAAAAAAAAACTCGTGTAAACGAGGAGAAACACAAGCCTAAACCCAACCAGAAACGACTGAAGCCGCTTCAGGGTCGTCCTCTGCTCGGACAAAGGCCCCCTTCAAGAAGGCGATCCCGAAGGCTGCAAGCCGCAGAGCACATTTGCTGATAAGTCCATTCTCTGTCCTCCCATGAGATCAGAGTTTGGGATTGGCTTGGTTGAATATGATTGAACAAATGTTTGAATATGATACGATCTAAAGTTGAATCATATCTTATGAATCTTATGTTATTGAATATCATTGAATCATGAATTGGTGTCATACAAGGGACTGCATGTATGTATCTTACCATTCTTACCAACGTGTTCAGCGCCTCGTAAATCAATGCGAGTTTGTCAGGCCATCTTCTGGCATTCCTGCCATGGCACATCTTGGCACATCTCAGAGATCTCTCGATGCAAAATGGTGCAAAATTAGTGCAAATCGATGGCTCAACTCGCCTGAGGATCATGTCCTGGATTGTGGCCACATGCCTTCCAAACAACGCCATCATGGGGCCATGGGCGGCCACGGCTGACAGTTCCACCCACCTGGAACAAACAGCTGCCAGAAGGGGCTCCCAGGCGAGAGCAAGTCCCTCTGCAAGCTGGGGCAAAACCTGGCACCACGGCACCACTTTCTCATCCCAGAGTCAAACTGGTCAAACTGGGTTCGGCTCCCACTGCGTTTGTCTCCCAAATGGGAAATTGTTCAATCGAATCATAGGTACAAAAACCTTCTTGACTTCTCCTCAAATCTCCTCAAATCTCCTCAATATTTTCAGTTTTGCTCGTTTCAACTGATTTTGTTTACTCTTTCAGAAATTTTCACTCTTTCACTGCTGCCTGACAGTTTGGCAGCTCCGCGCAATCCGAATCCGTTCGATCCACAAAGCAACCCAGTGGTCTAAAGCGTACACGCAAAGGCCACACCTCACACCACGTGCGGTGACTACCAGTGCTGCAGTGGTGAACAGGTAGGATTTGGGACTTGTGGGACTTGGGATAGCACTTGTGCCATGCCTTCAATGTGGACTTTGTTTTCAACATCAGACAGCTGGACTTTGTGATCAGTGTGTTTGTGAAGACTGAGAGCATCACTTCCTCCACAGTCCCACACAAGTAGACCTCAGGAAACAAGACATTGCTGGGAACTGCAGGTTGCTGCACTGAAAACCAGAAATTTCCACACTGACTACAGTCCACAGAGTCTATGTTTGCCGAGACAGAATTCGTTCTTCACCAAGCCCCAAGACTGTGAGCCACGGGGACATGTTTGTGCAAAGTGCAATAAAGGAACATTCTCTAGACCAGCGGGACACTGGTCAGCTGATGCAACACGCACAGGCAGTTCATGTCCTAAGAGACCAAACATCAAAATCGGTTCAGCCCAACAGCTTCACAAATGAGTCCGGCATGGAAAGAATTCAGTAAATTCAAATGAGGTGTCACCAGTCAGTCAATTCAACACCCACATCAATCAGCAACATCCCAACATATCCATACATATCCGACATATCGGACACATCTTGACATATCTTGACATGTCATGCCCGGCTCTGCTAGGCGAATGCCAGGGTTCTAGAGGATGAGCTGGGCAAGGATGAACAAATAATGCACACATCCTGACATTCAAAATACGTTGAAATTGAAATATGTTGAGAATCACACACTGAATCCTGGTAATTCCTGGCATGCCAAAAGTGCTTTGAATTTTGTGACATTTCTGTTTCACTTGGAAGATCTCCTCCAATGCGACAGCGCTGCTGCTAAATCTGGCGAAATTCACAAACCACACCATTGAAATGAATCAAAAATGTCAAACCGACACAGGGTTCGACAGCATCGCATGGAAAAAAAACATCAAATAAAAACGTTTGCAAAACAATGAAACTGCAAATTTTGAATGCAAAAAAAAACGCAAATTCCAGTCCAGTTGCAAACAAGTTCATCAATCCAAATTCAAGTCCAAGGCACTGCACAGGTTGCATTGGCAAAACTGATGTTCCAATATCAATCCGTATGCATTGCCACACACAATGGATCGTACAAAATCGTACAAAATCACTGCAGGTGAAAATCCAATATTCCAGTGAGAACAGTTTGATCTGTGCGAGTCTTAAGTGAAGGTGTTTTTGTCTCAGGAGCATTCTTGTTGTGCTTTGCTTTTGTTGCAATTGAACCAAAAAAATCTGCCGGAGTGAAAGGGTGTGGATCAGCAAAGCGCAATCAAGTCTGCACGGACACCGCATACCTTCCGATTTTTTTTCGTGGGGAAGGGGGGAAAATCGAAATGCCAAAACCCAATGAAACCACTTCAGAAAGAAAAAAAACAACAACACAACAACTCATCGCATCCTTGGATGTCATTTGATGTTTCCTGACCGCGGCCCAATGAAATTTGCTCACATACATCGTCTCAAATCACCAGTAGATAGACACTGACATGATGATTTTGAGTGTTGTTGCACAAAGCGTCCGGTCTGGCAACGGCTAGGTCCGCCAACCGAGAATCTCAGCATGTTGTTCGCTTTTCATTGGAAACCCAGTGCAGTTACAGTACATACTGTGTGAAACGGGCCAAGGTCATCGAGTTTGCATGATACAATCAACATCATTCCACAAATCATCACCGATGCATCACCAAATTCGATTTCCAGGATCTTGTCCTCAAAACTACCCCACTTTGGAGATACATAGATTCATGTCGCTTCAGCATCAAGAGTAGGCCCTTCAGAGCTGGGGCATTGCTCGGCTGTCAGTTGCCCTCGAAAAAGTGGGGGAGTTGCAACCAAAGTTGGTTTGATTGGGATGGTTTAAGAGAAAAATGTAATCCGTTCCTGCAAATGCTCCCTTCAAAGTCCGGCAGGGTTGCAAACGGGGAACTGGGTTATAACGCCAGTTCTCAATGGCAGTTCGGTGGGATGGAAGGTACAGTGGGCAATTTTGCTACGTGATATGTTGGTGCAAGACATCTACCCTGTCTGGTCACGTTTTGTTTTGTTTCGAGCCACTGCCACGTCAATCCTGACTTGGTCTACCTGCCTCCATAAAATTCACAAGAATTATATGTAGAAATGTCAGTTGGAGAATTCCAAAAATAGTCAGACTTGAATATGGACGCGAACTTTGTTGAAGAGTTGTTAAGCGGATTTGTTTCTTCTGGAAGCGTTCGAAACCGTTTTTTTTCAAGGGGCGGGGGGGGCCAAGATAATTATTACTACGCAACAATGCTGCTGCAGGCACAGTGGACAGGCAAGAAGCAACAGGAGCGGCAAGGGTGAGGGGAGGTGGCTGCGGTGACTCTTATCATTTGGCTGAGCAGTGGGCAATGCATTGGTTTGGGAAGCAGAAGCAGCTACACGCGGGAGGCAGGTGGGGAAGGGGGGGAGGGGGGCCAAACTATTATGGACGATTATTATTATTAGGAAGTGGCAATGGATGACTGCGGCAAGCGGGGGAGCAGCTACACGCGGGAGGGAGGTGGGGAAGGGGGGGGAGGGGGGGGCCAAACTATTATTATTTTATTTTTCTGAAAAACAGGCAACGTGCTCACACCTCAGATTTTTCTCGTCGCTTTTGAGCCACTTGTTGGGCCACGGGCAAGCACAGATTTGTGCGTGTCATCCTTGCACCAAGAGACAGGACATGCTAATCTTCTCTGTATCGTTTCAACTGCCTACAACCTATCACATGGGTGTGAGTGCCATGACTGAAGTTTGACACCCCACCTTGGCAACTTGTTCCTTTAGAACTTGTTGTCATTCTTGAAACTTCCATGCAAACTATGGCTGTGTTTCAGCCAACTGTGCTATTACATTCAGCTCTCATCCTAGGTTGTCAAGGCCGCTGAAAAAAAAAATCTGTCTCTCACTTGGTTGAATTCGTTCGCCTGGGCTGTGGCAAACATTCCATTGCCTCATGCTTTGATTGCCTGCCACATGCCTTCAAGCTATGTCACGTAGGGTCTCGATCTCTTGCATCGTTCGTGTGAATGTCGCAGCAGCTTCCCAATCTCCTTGTTCTTCAGCCTGAGCTCGTCGGCTCTGCAATGAAGCCAGCGCATTCTGAAGTCGAAGTTGGTTGGCCTGAGAAAAGGCCAGCATTCGGTCATGATCATATTCATCTCTATCTCCAAAGTGGATTGCCGCCCACTCATCTGGGTCGGAAACCTCTCCTTGATCTGACTCCAAATAGCGTCTCCTGCGATCTTCTGGAGTTTCTCCATCCATATCGATGTCCTTGTCCAACTCAGACTCACGAGCTGCACGGTCAATATGATGACCATTGAGATTTGCTACGTGTTGCAACGCAGCTTCAGCTAGATCCACATTCTCAAAGAGTTGAGGCTCAGGTTGGGCTTCCACATACGGTTCCTCCAATGCTGCAAGTGCTCCAACTGGATACTGGCCACCAGTCAGATACTCGTCCAAGCTTTCGTAGACACCTTCCATGTCAGTCATGAAGTCACCTTGTTGATTGGATTCCCTGAACCTGTCGTGCAAATAACAGATTTCTCGGCGAAGCATCCACCAGGCTAGCCACAAACTTGGTTTGATCAGCAATCGAAACCTGCAAGCCATCAATGCCGAAGCATGGCGAATCGTCACCATCCGCATCCATTCGTAGTGCTTCCAAATCAAAGGTCCTGATAGGAGAAATACCACTCCAGCAACCAATGAAAACATTCCAATGATCTGCGCCACCAGGAAGACAAACTTCATGAAGTAGTATGTGCAGCCGGTACTTGTGGTGACTGTCCATTCTGCCAGTGTCCACAAAGCCAGTTGCACGCCATCGCTGTTGGTCTCGTCCATGTCTCCACCTGCCACAGATCCATGATTGAAAAGGAAGTCACTGTTGCAACCTTTCAACTGCATGCACATGTTCATGCTTGCACCAGCCATTTGAATGAGTCTCATGCACTGCTCCATGGTAACCCTATTGATTCTTCTGATACGTCTGATCTCGTTGTCATCATTTGTTTCACTGTCATTTGGAGAAAAGAGTCCAATGAGTTTTCCCAAGAACTTTCTGCGTTCTCCACTGAGACGTTTCGTGTTGAGATCTCCAGGGTTGATTTTGGTACTGATTTTGAAAATCGAAAATACACCAGTCCGCAGCAAATTTTGAAAATAAAACTGCTTGATCTGGATGTGCTTCAATCTCCCTGTTCCAGTTCTGCGGATCAGTGCTAAGGCCGAAGACGAATCCATGAAAAGCCTTTGTTGTACCACCTCATTGCTTGTTTCACTTTCATCACCAGCTAAGAACTTGCACAAACGGAATAAAAGAATGCATTCCACCATCAATCCATTTGCAGCGTAGAGTTCAGCTTCACAGCTTGAAAGTGCCACTGAAGCCTGAGTCCTGCATATGCTCATCAGCAGGGCTCCATTCAAGAAAATGAGGCCAGAGCTTGTGCTCCGTCTTGTCGTTCGGCAATCAGCCCATGAGCTGTCACTGAAAGCTTCCAGAGTAAAACGACCTTCTGTTGACCATTCTGGGATTGTTGCTTCATTTTGGATCAGGTCGTCATTCCTCCAGAAATCACTCAAAGTCTTTCCTTCCTCTGTTGTTTTCAAAAGGATTCCACTGTCAGGCGTCCCATCAAGATAGGAAGTCAGGTGTTTCAGTGCTGCCATCGCCTTTGTGCTTGGTTTTGACATGTATGATGACAGAGTCTTTACTGCAAATTGGATATCCGGTCTGTCCATTGCAATGTACAACACCAACCCAAGACCAGATCGAAATAATGCAGCCTGCTCGTTGTCCAATGTCTCTGATTCAATCACAAAGTCAGCACTGTAAGCTTCCAATGTTGCATGGTATGGGAGGCCCTTCTTGCGTCTTGCGCTCACCTTCATCATTGAAACCAGCTTTGGAACATACATTGCATTTGATTGTATGAGGATTCCATCATCTCTCATAGTGATCCTCTTTTTCAAATACATGAGTTGCTCTCCACTGGCCGGACAATGGGGCCCATCGACTTTCATCTTCAATGTAGCTCCAATTGTGCTTTTGAACCATTCTACATCATCTGGCAAACATGCTAGGAGAATGTCGTCCACGTGGATGTTCACAAAGATCTTCCTGTTCAAGTCCTTGTGTCGCATCACTGTTGGTGATCCAGGGAATGATACCAATCCTGCATTTTCACATATGGAGGCAAAGTGTTGATGCCATTTCAATGCTGCATTTCGTTGACCTGGAAGACAACGAAGCAAACGCCAGTGAGTGTCAGGTTTACCTGTCAAATCACGAACCCACTGAGGAATTTCAACATACATCTCATCTGTTTGAGGCACCATCAAAAATGCATCCGAAATGTCAAGTGAAGTCACCGAGAGGTTGTAAATCAACGCAAACACCAGCAACATTCTCACTGCAGAAAAAGCTGATGTAGGGGCAAAGCTATTTTCATCAGTGGCTGAGGTCTTGAATTCTCGAGCCACTACTCGGCACCTTCTGATCCAAGCATTGCCTCTGAAACGCCAGTCAAATACCAACGTTGTATCAACTGTGTTTTCTTGCGCAGCCTCTTCTGGAGAAAGGAAAACAGGTCTGATGACCTCCATGCGATGTAACTTTTCAAGTTCATCAAGGATTGCACGTTCATCAAGCTCTTGGAGTTTCTCTGGGCTCACATCTGGTGGGCCTTCTCCTTCACCATGTTGTGCTATGTATTCATCCTCAAGGTCAGGATACTGAAAACCATTCTCCAAATCACCTGTGAATTCATCCATCTCATCGTTGTGACAAATCTCAATGTCTGCCACTTGGTTCACCTTGCTTTCAAACTTGGCCGCCTTGCTCTTAGGAACAATAGCTGGATCATCATCCATCTTTTGCATCTTGGCACGCTCGTCAGTCAAAGGAGTGCTGGAGGGATGTTTGCAAGAACCAGAGGGGATTTCTGCATCTTCATCACTGTCTGCAACCGGAGTGACTGGGGCTTTCAACATGCTTGGTGACACAGCCCCACCTTGCTCAAACATCTCTTGTTGCCCATCTGTATCTGAAACATCATC